TAAGCCCCCCCACTTGGGTGATTTGTTTTATCTAATGCATTATCAATACAAAAGCTAGCAAGCTGTGTTATTTGTTCTGCCCTAAGTCTTGGCTCATCTCCACTCCTCCTGGTCATGTTTAACTGTGTAGTAGATACACGTCAGGACGGAGATCTGAGCCAGGTGATCCTCAGGGCTGATGTGGTGACCTTGCAGGGCTGCTTGCTTGGTGACATCTCTTGGGTCTATTGCTTCCAGGGGAAGGAAGTGATCGAGTACTACTTGAGTGAGCTCATCTCCCAGGGCACCTCCCACATTCCCCGCTGGACACCTGCCCATGTCCAGGAGGAAGACACCTGCAGCTACACTGTACAACACTGCCCCAGCTTCCTAGAAACTGCTAGCCCCAGCGCCCCAGGCCCAGCCCCAGAGATGGCCACTGCTGATGGTAGGTGACTGCAGCAGAGCCAGCAGCTGTCTGCACCCTGACTGGCGGCTCTAGGAAGTGTGCTGCACTGCCTTGGTCCCTGGGAGAAGGGAGAGTTGTTGCAGGTCCCTAGGGTTGGGCACAGCCTGGCTCCCACTAAGCCTTCTCCCTCAGCTGGGCTTCTCCCTCCCTCCATTCTGGCCCGAGCTCAGAGCTGGGCCTATTTCTAGCCCTAGGGTTGACCTCTGGTGGTTTTATGACTATTTTTAATTGTGTGAGTAATGCAGGATCATGCTAGAAAAACAATCTAAATGACTTGGAAGATGAAAAGTGGGCAGTACGGGTTGGGGAGATGGCTTAGCTAGCAAACTGCTTCTTTGTAAGTGAGTTCCATTCCCCAGAACTCGGATAGAAAGCCAGCAGGTATGGAAGCATAGTCTGTAATCCCAGTGCTGGGGCTCATGGGGCAGCCAGCCTAGGTAATTGGAGAGTCCCAAGTCACTTTGTCTCAAAAAACATCCCAAGGTAGATGGTGCCCGAGGAATGATAGCCTAGGTTGGCCCCCATACACAAGCACAAATGTACCCATGTAAATGCATACGCATATACACACACACACATACAAAATAAAAGTGTCAAGTAAGATCCATTCTCTCTCCCTGGGGGCTACAATAGTTTTGTGTTTCATAAAGTTACTAGGGGCATGTGGTATGTGAGATGTATATGCACTCACACACATGTGTACATGCATATACACATGTAGAGCATGCTGAACAAATGGGAGGCATTCTGTCTGAATTTTATTATTTCTCACTAACATTGCATGAATACTGTGTGCTTCTTAGTGCTTTGTGGAACCATGTGACTGCTCTATAACTTACTAATGTTGTCTTATTATTATTGTTGTTGTCTTTGTTTGAGACAGTCTCATACAGCCCAGGCTGGCTTTGAATTTGATATGCAGCTGAGACTGACTCTGAATTTTTAAAAAAGGTTCATTTTTATTTTTAATTATGTGTGTGTGTCTCTGTGGGGGTTTGTGAACATGAATGCAGGTTTCTGTAGAGGCCAGAAGAGGGCATTGGAGCTGGAGTTACAGGTGGTTATGCACTGGGAACTGAGCTCATATTCTCTGTAAGAGAAGTATGCATTCTTAACTATTGATCCTTCTCTCCAGCCCCTTACCTTCAACTTCTGACTTACCTGCTTCCCAAGTGTTGGGTTTACAATTGTGCACTACCATGAAGCTGGCTAATTTAGCCTATTTTAGAACTTCATACAAATCATATAGCGTGTCTGCATATATGTTTGCTTGACATAGGGTCTGTCTGTGTTAGTCCAGGCTAGCTTTGAACTTAAAATCCCTTGAGTTTGGGAATGACATGCCACCATGCCTAGCTCCTTAGATTACATTTTTTTTTGGTCTTTTTGAGACAGGGTCTTCTTATAGCCCCAGCTGTCCTGGAACTCACTATGTAGACCAGGCTGGACTTGAACTCACAAAGATCTACCTGCCTCTGCCTCCCAAGTGCTGGGATTAAAGGCGTGCACCACCATGCCTGGCCAGAATGCATTTCTTTTAAGCATTTTTATTACATTTTTATTTATTAGTGTGTATATGTGTGTGTAGTATTTGTGGGTATGTTCATGCCATAGCATGTGTTTGGAGATCAGAGGACAACTTGTGGGAGTCAGTTCCCTCCTTCTATCTTGTGGGTAGCTCAAACTTGGGTTGTCAGGCTTGGGGGCAAGTGCCTTTACCCAATGAACCATCTTGTTGATCCTTATTTTTGCTTTTGTTTTGAGACAAGGTCTCATGATTCTTCTGTCTCCACCTTCCAAGTGCTGGGTTTACAGATGTGCTCCATCATGCCTAGCTACAGTTCAGCCATTTACTGACATAGAAACTGCTCACCATACAATGTTTTTTTTAAAAAAAAAGAGCTTGCAAGTTGTTAAGGATCTGCAGAAACTCTCTGGAGGGCAGGAGTCATCTCCAGACTGAGGCCTGGAGGGAAGTCACTTCTCATGGTGACGTTCATGTTTGCTCATCATGAGTTTTCAAAACCATCTTAGAAACTGGGTGGAAAGATGTCCTTGTAGCTGTCTTCTGGGGGGAGGGAGCCACAGCCTTCCTGGGCACTATATTCTGGGGTTGAGACAGCTGGTAAGTAATGAGGGCCACACAAAGTGTAGGCCACGTGCTAAATATACATGTCCCCAGACCTGGTGGGGCATGCCTGTAACCTAGCACTTGGGAAGTAGAGGAAGGAAGATCAATAGTTCAAAGATAGGTTTGGTTATATAGAGTGTTTGAATCCAGCCTGGGCTACATGAGACCCTGTCTCAAACAACAACAACAAAAACAACAAAATAACCCCCCCAAAACAAATAAAAAAGAAAAATGAGAAGAGAAGATGTCTTCTTTTCCTCTGCCCTGAAGCCCTTATTTTTTCATCCTCAAGGGGACAAGCTGGATGCAGACTACATTGAGAGGTGTCTGGGCCATCTCACCCCCATGCAGGAGAGCTGCCTGGTCCAGCTTCGCCATTGGTTACAGGAGACCCACAAAGGCAAGGTGGGTTCAGGGCATGTGCTTCAATGACAGGAGTGAGCCTGGGGCAGCAGGGAGGAAGCTAAACAAGTTTATGCCATCAGGGATACCAAAAGCTTACATTTTCCTTTATTTGTATTACATTTGTCCTTACACAAGCTGAGGCCACCATAGCCAGCATGACATTTGGGGACAGGAAGTTCTCTAGAGTCGATGTCTGTCCTGTGTATTGCAGGATGCCTAATAGTGTTCCTAGCTTCCAATCAGTAGATTCCAGTGGCTTCCCCTAATCCAGATGTGACAACTCTAAATGTTCCTGGACATTGGCATTTGTCTTCTAGGGTAGGGGAGGGCCACAGTCATGCTCAGTTGAGAATCATAGCTGCAAAATTCCATGGTCATTTGACCATGGCTATTGTCCTTTTCTAAGGGATTTAGGACTTTATGAGAGTTTTGCCTTTAAGCTCTAGCTCCTGTCATAGGGATCTGGACCAGGCACCTGGGTCCCAAGCAGGACTCTGTCTCCAACTCTGTTGAATGAGAACTTCTTGCTTAGGCATGAGCTGTTTACCCTTCCTTCCTCAACTCTGAGAGGTCAGACAAAGGAGTTGCTTAGTGTTGGGCTATGATATAACCTGCTTGCTTCCGCTTCTATAGCTGTAAAATGTGGACATTATCCATATAGCATGGGTCACAAAGGTTGATCCACATCAAATGCTTAGGATGGTGTCTGGCTCCAAGTGAGCAGCCTAGACAGGGCAGCTTTTACTGGAGCTGGTTTCACATGAATGGTACATTGGAGAAGGAGGAGGGAGGAGGAGCACTTACTTAGAAGAAAAATGTTATTTTCAAGCAGAGAGGAAAGGTAGGCGGCCACAGCTCACAGCTCTTCAGCACAGCCCTTCCCTCTGCTTCTCTCTGCTCCAGGCACCTTTCCCCGCAGTTTTCCAGATGATATAGAGGCTCATTTTTGTTGCTTTATCTACAGGTTGGAAATATGCTATGGGTTTCTCCCTTCTTTGTCTCTCAGATCCCCAAAGATGAACACATCCTCCGGTTCCTGCGGGCTCGAGACTTCCACCTGGACAAAGCCCGAGAGATGCTCTGTCAGTCTCTGAGCTGGCGGAAGCAGCACCAGGTGGATCTCCTTCTGCAGACCTGGCGGCCCCCAGCCCCCCTGCAGGAGTTCTATGCAGGAGGCTGGCACTACCAGGACATAGGTGTGTCTCACACCTGTGCCATATGTGATGGATAAATGGATAAATGATGCACTCCAGACTGACAGCTCAGATTCCCTTTGGGCTCTGTGGAGCATCTGGAGATGCTGGTGAAGTGTCATCCAGCTGTGAAGAAGGTAGAACCAGCATAGACTTTGGACTATGTGACAATGTCTCTGCCCCAGGGCTGGGTTGCTCGGCATCATATGTGCCTCAGCCTTGCCAACGCTGTGAGCATTTACTCAGCAGACACAGCAAGCTGGGGGCTTAAAACAACAGATGACTATTCACTCCTGGTTCTGGAGCCTGAAAGTCTGTGATTCAGGAGTCAGCAAGGCTGGGGATGTGGTTTAGTTAGTAGAATACTGCCTAGCATGCACAAAGCCTTGGGTTCGATTCCCAGCGCTGTATAAAACTGGGTGTGGTCGTGCACACTTGTAATCCCAGCACTCAGGAGGTAGAGGAAGATGAGAAGTTCAAGGCTATCCTCAGCTACATAGTGAGTTTGAGGCCAGTTTTGGCTAGAGACCTTGTCTCCAAAAATAGAGATAAAGATAGAAAAAATAGATTGAGAAAGAAATAGAGAGAGGGAGAGGGAGGGAGGGAGGGAGGGGTGTGCAGGGCTATACTTCCTCTGGAAGTTCTGGGAGGGAGTTTACACCACCTCTTCCAACTTCTGGTGGCTCCAGGGCTTCTGGCCCTGTGGCTGCATTGCTCTTAATTTCTGCCCCTCTTCCCATGGCCTTCCCTGTAGGTGTCTCTCTGTTTCTTTTCATCTCACAGAGACTCAGGGTCATTAAGAGACCAACCCTATATCCAGCCTGATGTCACCAGAGTCCTTAGGCTCCTGTAGTCTCCATTTCTGGCTTAGGTCCCATCAGAAGGTTCTGGTGGACAGGGGTTTTGGGGACAAGACTCCTCCCACTTAGGTAATCTTTCAAGATTTAAGAAATTATACATCCAGCCAGGCATGGTGGAGCATGCCTCCCAGCACTTGGGAGGCAGAGGCAGGTGGATCTCTGTGAGTTCAAGGTCAGCCTGGATTACATAGTGAGTTCCAGGACAGCTGCGGCTCTTTGTATAAAAACATATTGATTAGGGAAAGTGTTCAGTTTTCCTGAAGAATGGGTTGGGGCAGTTTTTAAAAAAAAATTAAAAATTTAATTTATTTTTATTTGTATGTGTGTGTGTTTTTAATTTTTTTTTTTTTGGTCTTTTTGAGACAGGGTCTCCCTGTAGCCCCAGCTGACCTGGAAGTCGCTATGTAGACCAGGCTGGCCTCGAACTCACAGAGATCTGCCTGCCTCTGCCTCCCAGGTGCTGGGATTAAAGGCGTGTGCTACCTATGCCCGCCTTGTGTTTTTAATTTCTAAAATTTCTTTTATTTTTACTTTTGTGCGAGTGTGTTGCCTGTATGTATGTAAGTACATCCGTGTCCTGTAGTAATGCCCAAGGAGGTCAAAGGAGGGTGCCACATCCCCTGGAACTGGAGTTATGGACAGTTGTTAGCTGCCATGTGGGCGCTGGGAATGGAACCTGGGTCCTCTGCAAGAGCAGCCAGTGCTCTTAACTGCTGAGCTATCACTCCAGCACTGGTAGTTGGTTTCTCTTTAACATGCAATTGATTCTTCTAGTTCATGGCCTCTCTATTTGTGAATTCCTATTACTTGCTAAAGTTTATTTATAACTCCTGAATCAAGGTAATTCAAGGACATGTATGGAGTGGTGAAATTTCTCAGTTATGTGTGGGACTGGGGAGATGGCTCAGTTGGTGCTGGACATGCAAACATAGAGACCTGAATTTGATCCCCTGAACCCATTTAAAAGTGTAATCCCAGCACTGAGGAGGGGGAGCTAGGAGGATCCATGGGGGCTCCCTTGCCAGCCTGTCTAGCCAGATTGATGAGTTCAGTGAGAGACATCCATCTCAAAAAACTCAGTGGAGAGCAGTAGAGGAGGACACCTGATGTTGACTTTTGGCTTCCACACCCACCCACACATATTCACCCTCACAAATTGCACACACAAGAACATGTATGTGTCTGTATACACAGAGAGTCATGTGATATGCATGTTTCCTATTGAGTTCCACCAAGGTCGTGTTGTATTTTAGCCATGTTTCCTGTTTTAGCCTCATTCTGTACACAAGTGTCCTTTTCTTGAATCCTATTTTGTGACATTTTTGTGTTCCTGCTGCTTACAATGGCCAGCAGTACAGGCCTGGTAGTACAGGGTCATTTCAGCTACTTGGGAGGCTGAGGCAGGAGGATCTCAAATTCAAAACCTACCTTGATAGCAGAGTGAGTTTAAGACTGGTGTGGCAAATTAGTGAAACCCTGTCTCAAAACCTTTCCTTGTGGTACTGGGGGTGGAACCCAAGGCCTCCCGACTCTTCATGGGTGCTCTACCCCTTAGCTGTATCTCCACCTCTCTTTATGTTTTGAGACAAGGTCTCACTAAGTTTGCATGTTCCCTTTCCTGTTGTCACAAACTCATTAAATGATGTCCCTTCTTTTTGTTGGGCCCCAACCACCCCCCAAAGATGGCCGGCCCCTCTACATCCTGCGCCTGGGCCAGATGGACACCAAAGGCCTGATGAAGGCGGTGGGTGAGGAGGCGCTGCTGCAGCACGTGAGTAGGTCCTTCACTGGAGCCCTGGGCAGGGTGTGTGCCTAGGATATCAGCCAGTGACTGGAACAGCTCTTGACAACAGCTGTTGTCAGCTCTGTGCCTGCCTTCCAGGTTCTTTCTGTCAACGAGGAAGGGCAGAAGAGATGCGAAGGAAACACAAGACAGTTTGGCCGTCCTATCAGGCAAGAACCCTGGCAGGAGGCAATCCCCACACACATTTTCCAGGTTTAGGGGCAGAGCTAGTTTGCGCTGGTCCTGTCTGGCTCCACCCCCAGCTCCACAGGCTCCTCCTTTCCGCTATCTCAGACCAGCCCTCAGCCTCAGCTCTGCTGTGACCTGTCTGCTTGTGGTCACAGCCCAGCCAGTGACCGTTGTTCCTCTTCCATGTCCCCTATATTCCATTCGTGAGTCGAGTGTCCCCAGGGTCTATGAAATTGTCCTGCGTCCCCTGCCCCCCGCCCTGCCCCAAGTCCCCAGAAGGTGCAGGAGTCCCCGGGAGGTGGCAGAGCCTGATGGAGCTCGGGGTCCCATGTCCGATGCAGTTCCTGGACCTGCCTGCTGGACCTGGACGGCCTCAACATGAGGCACTTGTGGCGGCCGGGGGTGAAGGCCCTGCTGCGGATGATTGAGGTGGTGGAGGACAACTACCCGGAGACCCTGGGCCGGCTGCTCATTGTGCGCGCACCCCGCGTCTTCCCCGTGCTCTGGACTCTGGTGAGAGCAGGAGGAAGAGCAGGGCCAGGCAGGGGGCGAGTTCCTTAACATGAATGATGCAGAAATGGACGGATATATGGAGTCAAGATACACAGTCGCCAGGGGCTGGGTGGGACAGGGAAGAGGCGTGACCATTGGTGGGGGTGGGGATGGGAGGGGAGGTGGGGTCTCCTTTCCAGGTGATAGAAATGTGTTTGGATTGAGGTAGAAATTGTATGATATTATCAATGTACCAAAGGCCTGTGAATTCTGCACCTTTTTAGTTTATTTTGTGGGTGTGTGTTTTTATGTGGTGCACATGTGTGTGCAAGTATGCATGCATATGTGTGAATGTGTGCGGATGTCAGGGTCTCTCACAGAATCTAGAGCTCACTGGCTGCCTGACCTTCCAGCCCTAGGAATCCTCCTGTGTCTGAGTCCTGTTCCCCCCCCCCCCCAGTATTGCACATACCATCAGGTCTAACCTTTTTTGGGGGGAGTTGTCTTTTTGAGACAGGGTAGCCTGGAACTCACTATGTAGCCCAGGCTGGCCTTGAACTCACAGAGATCCACCTGCCTCTGCCTCCCAAGTGCTGGGATTAAAGGTGTGTGTCACCAAGCCCAGCTAACCTTTTTTTTTTTTTTTTTTAACCTGGTTCTGGGATCTGAACTCAGGTCCTTATGCTTGCAGAGTAAGCACTCTACTGAGTGAGCCATCTTTCTGGCCTGAATCATGCACTTTAAAGAGATCAGTTCTGGGGCTGGAGAGATGGCTCAGAAGTTAAGAGCACTAGCTGGGCTTGCAGAAGATCCAGGTTCGAATCCCAACATGGTGGCTAACAACCATCTGTAACTCCAGTTCCAGGGGATCCCATGCTCTCTTCTGTCCTCTGAGGGCACTGCACGACATGGATGCACTTACATTCATGCAGGCATAACACTTATATACATAAAATAAATAAAGAGATCAGTTCAGGGCCAGCAAGTTCGCTCAGTGGGTAAGGCTGACAATCTCAGTTCAATTCTCAGGACCCACATGGTGGAGGCAGAGAACTGACTCCTGCAGGCCCTCTGAACCACCCCCACATGCCCCCACAAATAAGTAAATAAATAAAGAAATGTTAAAAAAAATTCTTCTGAGGGCTGAAGAGATGGCTTAGTGGGTAAGAGCACTGCTATTCTTGCAGAGGACCTGAGTTTGGTTTCCAGCACACACATGGCAGCTAACAACAGTCCTAACTTCAGTTCCAGGGGGTTCAATGCCCTCTTATGGCCTCCATGGGCATTGTACACACAGGTCCACTTACATACATGCAGGGAAAATACTCATGCACATCAAAATATAAATAAATAAGAGATCAATTTTGAGCCAGGCCTGGTGGTGCATGCCTATAGTTCCAGCACTCAGGAGGTTGAAGCAGGAGGATCGTGATGCCAGCCTGAGCCACTGAGACCCTTCTAAAAAAAAAAAACCTAGAAATAGGGCTGAAGAGATGGCTCAGTGGTTAAGAGCACTGTTCTTGCAGAAGACCCGGGTTTGAATCTCAGCATCCACATGGCAGCTAACAACTGTCTGTAACTCCAGTTCCAGGGGATCTGACAGCCTCTTCTGTCCTCCGCAGGCATTGCACAACACAGAAGCATTTACCTACATGCAGGCAATACACACATACACATAAAATAAAAATAATAAAATATTAAAACAAAACAAAACAAAAAATGTTTAAACAAAAACTAGAAATAAAATAAAACACCGCCATTACATAAATTGACCTATTATCTGCTGTATGAATTCTGTCTTGATAAACAGTGCATCACTTGCCTTTCTTTCCCCCCAGATTAGCCCCTTCATCAACGAGAACACCAGGCGGAAGTTCCTCATCTATAGTGGCAGTAATTACCAGGGCCCAGGTGGCCTGGTGGACTACCTGGACAAGGATGTGATACCTGACTTCCTGGGAGGAGAGAGTGTGGTGAGGCCAACCTCTGGTCCTGGGTCCAGGAGGGAGGGTGGCAGGAACCTGGGAGCCTGAACTCCTGAGGTTGGGAGGCTGATGAAAAGAGCCTTTGGGTGCTTCCCCCTGCTCAAATATGTGGAGAGCACACAGGTTTTAAGTGGAGGACAGGACTGATTGTAGAAGCTTCCTCAGATAGGTGGTGTCTCAGGCTTGGGATGATGGATAGTTCAGTGGTTAAGAGCGCTTGCTGAACAATCATGAGAACTGGAGTTAAGATTCCAATACCCACTTAACAAAGCTGAGTATTCCCTTTAATCTCCTATAACCCCAGCTCTGAGGGGAACAGAGGTGAGAGGATTGATTGGGGCTTGTGGTTTCCAGCCTAGCCAAGAAAACATTAGCCATAGGTTCAAGGAGAGATCCTGCCTCAAAAAGGAATAGGTGGTGCCAGGCATAGTGGTGCATACCTTTAATCCAGAAGCAGAGGTTGGTCTCTGTGAGATTGAGGTTAACCTGGCCTATATATTGAATTCCAGGTCAGCCAAGGATACATAGTGAAACTTTGTCTTAAAAAAAAAAAGGAGTATGTAGAGAATGATAAAGGGAACAACACCTGACATCCTCCTTCTCACATGTGCTCACACACATGACATCCTCCACATGTGCTCACATACAATTAAAATAAGTAATTAAATAAATCTTTTTAAAAAAATAGTAACTTGGCCCGGGCGTGGTGGCACACACCTGTAGTCCCAGCACTTGGGAGGCAGAGGCAGGCAGATCTCTGTGAGTTCAAGGCCAGCCTGGTCTACATAGTGAGTTCCAGGACAGCTAGGGCTACAGGGAGACCCTGTCTCAAAAAACAAACAAACAAACAAACAAACATATATTGAGACAGGTGTGGTGGTACATGCCTTTAATCCCAGCAGAGGCAGGCAGATTTCTGTGAGTTCAAGGCAAGCCTGGTCTACACAGTGAGTTCCAGGACAGCTGGGGCTACAGGGAGACCCTGTCTCAAAAAGACCAAAAAAAAAAAAAAATAGTAAGTGACCCAGACATAGTAACGCATATCAGTAATCCCAGCATTCAGGAAACTGAAGCAGGTTGGTGAGTTCAAGACCAACTTGGGCCACATAGTGAGACTCTGTCAAAACAACAGCAACTGCAACAATGAACAAACTAACAAAAACCACAAAACAACCAGTAACAGCAACAAAAAACCTAAAGAGCTAAAAAAAAAAACCTAGTGAATAAGAGAATATTCCTAAACTCAGACCAGGCAGAGGTTTATCTATTCTGCCTTCCCACCCAAGGTGTTGTTAAGCAACCACATTCACTTCTTCCCTCTGTGCCCATCTATGTTCCATGCTACAGGAAGCTGCCTTCTAATACCCCAGGGCCCTAGACCTTGGAGCTGGTGATCCTAGGGGACTTACTCCAGTCCATAGCCTCTCCACCAGGATGATCAAGCCCCTGCTTCCAAGGGAGGCATTGTCCTAAGAGATGATCAGCAGAGCAACCCTGGTCCCCACTCTCGTTCTCATGGCTCCAACACAGACACTAGGTCGCAGGCATGTTCCATGGGTGGGATACAGATGTGTGATTTCATTTTGGACAACCAGCATACATCTTTGTGAGTGACTTACTGAAAGGGCAGTGGGCAAGGACCTTGTTTTGTTAAGACTTTTTTCTTTTTTAAAAAAGACCAAAACATTTTTATTTATTATTTTTATTTTATGTGTATGAGTGTTATGCCTCCATGTAAGTAAGTGCATCCATGTTGTGCAATGCATGCGGAGGACAGAAGAGGCTGTCGGATGCCCTGGAACTGGAGTTACAGACAGTTGTTAGCTGCCATGTGGGTGTTGGGATTTGAACCTGGGTCTTCTGCAAGAACAGTCAGTGTTCTTAACCACTGAACCATCTCTCCAGACCCCTAAGCCTTTTTTTTTTTCCGCCTCAAAGTGATACTTGTTGCATGGAGGTGGTTCAAGATCTGAGATTTGGCCACCCACAGCACCTTTGGTTTGAAGAAATCTGTAAAACTGGATAGCTTCTCCACTGGTCATCCCCCACTGTTGAAGGGTGTATCATGGAGAGAGCATTGCATCTAGCCAGACACTATGAAAAGGGCTAGGAGCACAGGAGTCCAGTAAATATATGTGTATATTACATTAATTTACTTATTTGTGTGTGTGTGTGTGTGTGTGTGTGTGTGTGTGTGTGTAGGCACACACATCATGGTGTTCGTGTGGAGGTTAGACTCCTTTTGGGAATCAAGTTTCTTCGTTTCTTCTTCCACCTCATAAATTCCAGGAATCCAAGTCAGGTCACCATGATTGACAGCAAGCCACCTAATCCACTAGCCCATTTTATTTTTGAGGCAGGGTCTCACTGTTTAACCCAGACTGGCCTAGAACTCCGGATCCTCCTTCCTCAGCCTCTGGAGTGCTGGGGTTACAGGCATGCATCACCATACCTGACCTGAACATGGTTTTCTGCCCTGGTCAGCTAGTTTCTTCTATGTGATATTGGAAAAGTAGCCTGACCTCTTGGAACCTCCATTCCCCCTCTTCCATGAAAAAAGAAGAATATATCTTACCCCATTGTTGATTCTGGGGAGTTTGGGGGTGTGTGTGTCACTGTCTAGATCAGTAGGAGTCACTATTTTATGGTGCTTTAAGGATCACAGAGTACCCAGTATGCATCAGGCCAGCTGGACCTTGGTAATCCTCACCTTGCTACCCTTTTTGTCTTTAACACCTCCCCAGTGTAATGTTCCAGACGGAGGGCTGGTCCCCAAATCCCTGTATCTAACAGAGGAGGAGCAAGAGCAAGCTGACCAGCTGCGACAGTGGAGTGAGACTTACCACTCAGCTAGTGTGCTCCGAGGGGCCCCCCATGAGGTGCCACCTGGCCTGGGAGGGTGTGGGTAAGGTGGGGTCTTGGGTTATCTTCCTGCAGTGTGGGTGTGGGAAGTGGTTCCAGTCACTTAGCCTCAGCTCCATTCAGAAAGCTCTGGAACATGAGATGGTTTTAGAATGGTCCTGCCAAGGGCAAGAGGCCAACCATGGGTACTCTTACACCCCAGGCACCTGCACATCCCCTGCACACCCCCAATGGCCCAGGATTTTCAGAGAGGTGGTGGGTCCATTGGTTCAGAGTGAGTCTGGGAAGAGGGGGCATTGGGAGTCTCAGCAACCTACCCTGCCCCCATCTGGGAGACCATAGGGCAGCCCAGGGGGCGAACACTCTTTCTCTAGGACTCTGACCTTGTCTGTCCTGCTGATGCAGGTTGCCTTGGAGATTCCAGAAGGCGAGTCAGTCATCACCTGGGACTTTGACATCCTTCGAGGAGACTTGGTGTTTAGTCTGTATCACACAAAACAGACACCCAAGCTAGGTCCCCGGGAGCTTGGTGCTGGGGTCAGGGCCACTGGGCAGCTGATTGACAAGAGCTGGGTCCTGGGTGTGGATTACAGCCGTGTGGAGGTGCCTCTCATCTGCCAGGAAGGGCAGAGCATCCAGGTGCGCAAATACAGGTGTTGATTGTTCACTCAGTACACAGTATGGAACATCCCCGTGATCTAGGCCTCTGGGGTGACAGCTGTGGACAGAGTGGTCATGCTCCCCAGGGTGGTAGGGGAGACCTACCATGTCTGTAATAGGCACTCCCTGCCACAGGCAGAGGGACAGATATGGAGGATGGACAGGGAGCTCAGTTGAGAGGCAGCTTGAGGCACAGGTGAAGACTGGGGGTCTGGTGCCCAGTTTCTCCATTGGAGAAAGGGAATCATAAAAGGACCTAAATGGGAATGGGGAGATAGCTCAGTTGGCAAAGTACTTGCTCTGTAAACTTGAGGATCTGAATTTTATCCACAGAACCCCCCCCCTTTTTTTTTTCATAAATCTAGGCATAATGGCACATGTTTGTGATCCTAGCTCTGGGAGGTAGGGATAGGCAACCCATCCTGGGGCTTGATGGACAGCCAGCCTAAAAATAAAAAACAAATAAAACCCCCAAATCCAAGGTAGAAGGAGTCTGAGAAATGACAGCCAAGGTTGTCCTCTGCCTCCACATGCATGCACACACATATGCATGTGTACCTGCATGCATGTGTATGCATACACACTTGTGCACACACACAGAGTAAGCAGAATCTGCTTCAAGAGCATCATGGATATCACTGGAGGTTCTGTGGAATAAGTGGCACATAACAGCCAGCCCCTACGATCCCAATGACCCGCCACATGCTTCCTCAGAGCTACGCTGCCTCTAACCTTTCCACTTCTCCCTTGTACTCCTGCACCCTTCCACAAACTCTCCCAAACACCCATGAAAAGCACCCCACAACCCCCTTCTGTCCTGTGCCTCCACACCCTGGTCCCTACTCCATGTTAAGCAGAAAGCTCTGCCCCGCCCCTCAGGATATAGTAGTCATTGCAAGGAGGCTTTGGAATGCCCTTACAGAGGGTTTCCTGAGGGACTGAAGAAGGAGACCAAGGGGTAATACCCTTTTTTCCATGCCTGGCTATAGGAAACCCACTAAGGCTCACCCTCCATCTTGTCTCCAGGGACATCCAGCCCTCCCTACCTTCCCCAAGGGGACCTAATTCCCCATATCGTCCTCAGGAGGACCTAGCCCCCCATACCTTCCCCAGGAAGATCCAGTCCTTCATCCCATTTCCAGGGGAAACCAGCCCCCCATCCTATCCTTAGTTGGACCTGGTCTCAGGGCAGTTTCTGTGTTTCAGGGTTCACACGTGACACGATGGCCTGGCACCTACCTGCTCCAGTGGCAAATTTACAACCCTCCTGAGAGTGTGGCCTGCAGCCTCCCAGGCATGGATGATGTTCTCACGGCTCTGCACAGTCCAGGGCCCAAGTGCAAACTGCTATACTACTGTGAGGTGCTGGCATCCGAGGACTTCAGGTAGGGGAGGCCTGGGACTCCATAAAACCCACAGTATTGCTGCTTCTGTGAGTATTGATTGACTATGCAGCTGTCAGAGTTCTGCCCTTTTGCTAAGTAAACTTGTCCATGTGGGGCCAGAGTGGATCCATAGCACTCTCCAGAGAGTCAGGAGCCCTTTAGCATGACAAAGAGGCTCAACTACTGAGCCTTAAACCTCACTCTTGGTAGCTGCCCTCCCTTCAAGGAGCCGAAACCAGCTGGGGACCCCAAGGGGACTCTTCTTACTTAGACCACCCCCCATCATAATTATTCATGGTTTGCAACTACTCTAGACTATTCTAGAACTGTACTTTACAGAAACATGTCTATAGATTATGGCTTTCAAAGAGAAAGGGAAATTTGGAGGTTAAGACTTCCAGAACTTCCTGATTGCTGCATGACCTTAGACAAGTTGTTTCATCTCTCTGAGATTCAGGAGCCCCATCTCCTAAATGAGAGTCCCAGGAGCTCCTGCCTGGGAAAATTGTGAGGGCAAAATGACTGGGGACAGCTTGCCTGTCATTATGGCAGACAGTAGGCACTCAGAAATGAAGCAGGGGGTCTGGAGGTGGAAGGGTCAATTTCTTCAACCCCCCCATTTCATTTCATTATTTTTGAGTCAGTGTCAGGTAGCCCAGGTTGGCCTTGAAGTCACTACATAGCTGAGGATGACCTTGAATTCTGATCTTCTTACCTCTACTTCCCAAATCTGGGATAATAGGCATGTACCACTGCACCTGGTTTATGTGTACCTGGGATGGAACCCAGGGCTTCATGCACATTAGGTAAGCACTCTCCCAACTGAACTACATGCCTAGTCCTTTTTTATTTTTATTTTTTTCTTTTTAAAAATATTTTATTTATTATTTTTATTTTATGTGTATGAGTGTTATGCCTGCATGTAGGTAAGTGCACCTGTGTTGTGCATTGCCCGCAGAGGACAGAAGAGGCTGTTGGATCCCCTGGAACTGGAGTTACAGACAGTTGTTATCTGCCATGTGGTTGCTGGGATTCGAACCCGGGTCTTCTGCAAGAACAGTATTCTCCCCCCCCCTTGGGTCTTTTTTTGAGACAGGGTCTCCCAGTAGCCCCAGCTGTCCTGGAACTTACTATGTAGACCAGGCTGGCCTTGAACTCACAGAGATCTGCCTGCCTCTGCCTCCCGAGTGCTGGGATTAAAGGCAGGTGCCACTATGCCTGGCACAGTCAGCGTTCTTAACTCCTGAGCTATCTCTCCAGCCCCCTTATTTTTCTTTTAAGAATGGATGTTGCTGCATGTGGTGGCACAGCTGTCATCCCACAACTCAGGAGGCTGAGGCAGGAGGAAGATTACAAGTTTGAGGCCAGCCTTGGCTACATAAGATGCTGTTTAGAACCCCCCCCCCCCGCAAAACAAAACAAAACAAAACAAAAAAACCCAGGAAGTTCTGATCATCTCTGACCTCAAGTCTGAAGTGGGGTTAATTAGACAGAAAGTGTATCCTCGTAACCCAGGCTGGCCTGGAACTCAGAGTCCTCCTGCTTCAGCTTCTCAAGATGTTGGGGCTGCAGACTTGTGCCACTACACCTGGTTTTGACTACAGAGAACAAGAGAAAGAATCTGGGATTGGGATGTCCCAGGCTGTGGGTTTTCTGTACCATGCTGGACCCCTGGTGGTGCAGCCCCTGACTGCAGCAGGCTGGGCTGGTCCTGGGGAACCTGGTGCAGAGAAATGAGTGGCTTGTCCTTGTTCAGGATGGCATAACCAGCTTTTCCCTGTGCACTTGGGTGGCCCCAGGTGGTTAGCAGCTTCAAAGAAGAAGCCCTGGGGCCCCATTTGCAGTATCCACAGCTTTTGCATGAGGAGTTAACTTAAGGTGTGTGCATCCTTCCTTCCCAGGGGCTCCATGTCCAGCCTGGAATCTTGCATCAGCCGCTTCTCCCAGCTGAGCACCACCACCTCCTCCTCGTCCTCTGGCCAGTCCCACAGTGGCTCCATGGTGTCCAGATAGTCATGGGGGGTCTGCCAGCAGCCCATATGCTTATGGCAGTGTTCAGGATGGGACCCTTGGGACCACACCAGCTGCAGATACTGTGACAGCTGGGGTGTGGGGAGCCCACTGCAGGATCCAGCTCTCAGCCTGAGCACAGAGGGAGTCTTCCCTTGCTTTTGACTTTCTGTAAGGAAAGGCTGAGGCCTGGTGGATGCTCTACCTCCTGTCTCCTGTATCTGGGGTCTAGGGATGGGACCAAGGCTAAGATACCCTCACCACTTTCTGTGCTTTGTTCTAGGCTGGCTCTATCCTCAGGGAGACTTTCTCTACCCAAGGTCTGTTGGATGTCTGTCCATCCATCTGAAATGTGTGTGTGTGTGTGTGTGTGTGTGTGTGTGTGTGTGTGTGTGTCATACCCCAGCCCCTCCCCTGGGAGGATGTAGAAGGAAACTTTTCTCCCAAAAGTTCCAGGGTACCTCCTTAGCCTCCTAGGGACCTGGGTCCATTCCTGAGCCAAGCACCACTGCTAGGAAGTAGAGAACATTTGATTGGCCAGCAGGGTCATGTAGCCAGTCTAGACCAATCACTGTGATTTACAGATAGGATCTAGTGTAGTGATTGGCCAGTCTGGATTACAGGCACATCTCCAGAGCCAATGATGTGTCTAGAAAGCATATAGAGCCCTGCAGAAATACTAGGCAGGCTCACTTTAGTAACAGAGTGTTTAGCTTCCTGTGGTTGAACACTGTACAGGGAGCCACAATGGGAATCAGGGATCTGCTTCCTGCAAGGAACAACCTGCCCTGGGCTGGGGATTCACCCCTGACTGGAGAAACCTGGGGCAGCGCAGAGCATCTGCCAATGTCTAGGTAGCAATGCGGTGGTTCCATCTGCCCCTGCAGCCCCCTGGAGGTGCCTTTCCTTCCTGGGGCTGTTGCTTATGGTTCTTTTTGGTTATGAGCCAAAACCCCTTCTTTCCCAGTGGCTTATACACAAAAGGGAGGGCATTTGTGGTCAGTCCAAAAGTGCTTGCTTCAGGTAAGGCTAGATCCAGAGTTTCAGCAAGGTGCTGGGGTCCCCCAGCTGGGTGGAGGTGGTTGTCTTTACCCTGGAGCAGATCTGACTCAGGAACCAGTCCAAAGTTGACTTGACTTTCCTCACATTCTCCATGGGAGACTCCTGGTCTTCTTGGGGCCAAAGAACATATCTCATTTCCTGAATTCGAAAAAGGTAGCAGGTCATAGGTCACTGATTCCAGCTTGCAGCCAGTTTCAACCTGCTTTTCTTTTTCTTTTCCTTTCATTCTTTTTTACCTAGAGAGTGGTTTAAAAATTGGGGTATAGAACACAGAAACCAGGATCTGGTTTTCCTTAGCTCACCCCAGCCTTCACCCAAACCAACCAGGACCAAGCTAGTTCACAGTGCTGCCTTGGGTTTCTCAGTGAAGCTCTATCTAAAGCAGCTCCAGTCGTTCCCAGAGGCTCCTGGAAACTCTTCTCTGTCAGCCTTGCTTAGAATTGAGGTTATTTCTAGCAGAGTCACAAGGTAGAAGAGTGGGTTCCCCGTCTTGGGGATTGTCACCTTGGAGTTGACTCGGTATGCTGGGGCCAGATGAGAAAATTCAGACTTCTTGTGTGTGTGTGTGTGTGTGTGTGTGTGTGTGTGTGTGTGTGTGTTTCTTTCTGTCTGTCTGTCTATCTATCTATCTGTGAGAGACACACTTGTGAAAACCAATTGTCCCAAATCACCAATAGTAATTGGTGATAGTCTCAATGATCTTTATTATTTTTATTTTTTTTCAGTGCTTGGGATAGAACCCAAGCCTTGTGCATGCCAAGCAAGTGCTCTTCTACTAAGCCATATGCCAGGCTCATTCCTGTGATTTTTTTTTTTCCTAATGTAGGGTCTCATGTATTCCAGGCATTAAAGTCCGTATGAGGCCAAGGATGACCTTGAACTTCTGATTCTTCTGCCTCTGCCTCTCAGACTCTGGGATTATAGGTGTGTGTCACTACACCTGGTGTATGCAGTGCTGGGGATAGAACTCAGGGCTACATACATGCTAGGCAAGCACTCTACCACTGAGCCACATTCCCAGCCCATTTTAGTGATCTTTAAATGAACTTCTACTCTCTCAAAACTAGGTGTTATCCTAGAAGCAATTGGGGGTCAGCTGTTGGGTATATTTACCCTCTCCAAATAGCTTGAGAACCTCTTCCACTCCCTCCCCACCCCCAGTTCAAATTGGCTTAAACAAGAGGAGTTCCCTGGCTCTGTATTTAGGGTGGTGGAGGGGGGCTTGCTGCAGGTATGACTGGATCCAGCACGCTTCTTAGCTGTACCCAGGCTTCTTGAGTTAACTTCTGTTTGCACCTGGCCTCATGCTTTCACCCTGTTGAGAGGCTGCTATGAGCAGCCCCAAACTTGTACCTATGGGGTTCCCAGTGTCTAAGAGAAAGATCCATCTCTATCTCCAAACTTCCAGAAGATTCTGACTGATCCTGCTCAAGTCACAATGCTCCTTGCCCAAATTATGGGTCCTGTGACAGTCTCCCCCAGAGCAGCAGGGGTTGGGGAGAGAAAGTCTCTGTAGACAAGAAGAGCTAGGTTACAACATGGTCATGGTGGCATCTGCTGTGCCCTCCTGTGTAAGGCACCTGATGTTAGCCTCTAGCCTCCACATACATTAACACGTGTATATACATACACACACACAGACTATCTCATGCCAGAGGTTGCCAAGCTTGTGGCCTTTTCTTATCCTCACCACCCCAGGCCTGGTTGCCACATGATGTTGCATCTCCACCTTGTTCATCAGTATAGGACTGGGCATCTCACAGCAAAATGACTGTAGTAGTGTTGAGGGGCTGGGGGAGGGGGAGTCCTGAAACCTCAGCCTTCCTTTCACTAGCTGTGAAGCCTGAAGCGGGTGACTTAACCTCTCTGTGCCCCAGTTTCCTTATTTGTAAAATGAGGACAGCCTACCTCAGCAGGATGTAGTGGGACAAGAGAGATTGGTTGGAAAGATCTCCACATATGGAAGGTGCTCAATGAATGCTATTTCCCTCAGGGAGAGAACATTTGGCTGTTGAAATAAGGGGAGTTTGATGTGATGGTGGTTGTTTTTCTACTCTAGAAATCTCTGGAAATTCCCCCCTTGGGCTTAAAAACTAATTGTTCAACAAGGATCTTCTTTCCATTGATATCGGTTTAGGCAGGTGAAACAGGATGTTCATCCTTGCCTGATCATTTGATTTGGCAGAAGAATTAAACATTTTGCATCTGGATATCTGTCTGTGGCTAACTTTCTGGAACCCTGGTGGGTGCCCTGGGCTTATCCCAGAATCTCTCAGCTGCAGCCAGGTAAGCTGGGGCACACCTGTAATCCCAGCACCTGGGAGTCTGAGGCAGGAGGATCTCTGATTTTGAGGCCAGCCTGGGCTGCCATAGCAAGACCCTATCTCAAAAAATTCAAAACCAAACCAAAACAACCGGAGACTTTCTCAGCCACTGTTTCTGTGGTTCTGGCCCCGCCTGATCTTCCTGCTTCAGAACAGTGCCAGGCACGGCCAGCCTGTCTTTCCCTCTGGGCCAAGAGCAGGGGTTCTGGCTGCTGCGTGGAGCTCACGGAGCTGAGGGCCAGGGCCTGCCACCTTGGAGAGTAGAAGACACATGGTTCCTCTGTGTGATGGCCTGAAGGTCACCTGTCTAGAACTCAGCTCTCCCTCTATATCCAAGGAAGACAGCCCTCACCTGCTTCCAATGTGTACATTCATTCATCACTTTACTCCATTCATTCATCACTCATTCATCAAGTTCTTCACTGATTGATTGATTCACTTTTTTAGTCATGTATTCACTCATCCAGCCCTCATTTTCTTTATCCATTCATTTACTCATGCACTCACTTCATTCATTCATTCATTCATTCATTCATTCATTTATTCATTCACTCATTCACTGTGACTCTTCCAGAGCTCTCTCTGTAACCATTGGCGACTGGTTTCTGAAGCAGAGCCAGCTGCCTTGTGGGTGCTGTGGGTGTTGAGAAAGAACAGGCTACCAGGGGAAGACGCCTCCCGAGGGAGCCCAAGCTGGATTCAGGTCTGAGCTGTGGGCCCTGCTGACGTCTGTCTCAGCCCTCGCTCCTACCCCAAGGCCTCCTGGGTCCTGGGTCAGAGATGGCAAAACCTTCCCCAGGATCCCTTTGGCTCAGAGGCTGCCCCTAGGTGCTACCTCTGGGACCCTGGGGACTATTTTAGCAGAAGCAGCCACTGTGGGAATTTGTTCAGGGCCTCCATGGCAGGAGCCACAGCTTCTAGTGAGTTAAGGGCAGAGGCAGGGAGGTGGAGGCAGCTAGGACTGACTTCTCCCAAGTTGGTCCATGTCTTGCTGGGTCTACCAACATCTGAAACCCTAGAGTCCTTTACTGGATTCTAGATTTTTCCCCCCTACTACGGATTTCTTTCAGAATCCATTATGAGCCACAGACAGACACAGGCACACACCCACACCCACACCCACTCACCCCCTCCCCCATTTCACTTCCATATCAGGCTTGTAGAGAGCCTTGGGCAGTGCAACCATGCCCATCCAAACCTTCCTGGGGTCTCTCAAAATACTGGCCTTCTAGGAAGGTCTCTCCCAGTGCTGACATGTCACTACAGGTAGTGACTGTGCAGTACAAAGAGCTCTGGGGGCTCCAAGTAGGGCTTGAGGGACTTTGCCAGTCTATGGCAGTGTCTTGGGGGTCTTTTACCACCAACATGAGATCAGAGAGGAACCCTTGCCTCTGAGTGACCCCAGCAGCCTCAGGGATTCATGGAGGGTAGCTGACACATGCCCCAGTCCCCTAGCTCTTGAGTGCTATGGAGGCATTCTCTCCAGTCTCCTGCAAAGGTCTCCAGTAGGACCTAGCCATCAAGGCTTGGCAGAACTGACCCTGTCCTCCCGTGACAGGCTGCCTTCCTTTCCCTATCCCCTAACAACACATCTTGGGCCACTGCTCATATAAATCACGTGTCCAGCTGCTGCTGGGGTGGGGGAGGGGGAGCAGCCACATACAGGGCTGTAATGAAAAGGGATGGTGGGTCACCCAGAGGAAAGAGGATCTTTCTAAGTTTAAGGCCAGTCTGAGCTACATGGAGAGACAAATTTAGCAAACAAATTTAGAAAGAGGGACTTGATGTTGGGTAGAAAGACAGAATCCTTTGACAAATTAAAAAAATATTCTGCACATGCCTTTAATCCCAGTATTTGGGAGGTACAGGCACAGGTACCCTGTCACAAGACAAAATAAAACCTCTGCAGGGCCCCAGGAGATTCACATGGCTTAGGTGCCCAAGTCACTTAACCAGGTCCTCAGAGTATGCCCTGAATGATGGACCCTCTTCACTCCTTCCTGTGTCCCTCTGGACCTGGGTGCCACTAATCCAGTACAGTGTCCTATCACTTGTCCAATTTAGCTGTCATACATCAAGGAATAAAGACATTGGGCTTTCAGGCCAAGTTCATTGCAAATCTGCTGGGCACTAGGGCAGCTGCCTCAGGCTGCTCAAGGTGCTCCCTACAGATTCAAGGTCCTCTTCCTGTACCCCTGAAATTGTGACTTGGGTCTGGGACAGGATTCAGAGACTGCACCATGGAACATTCTAGTGGAAGTTACTCCAGCAGATAGCTAGGCTTGGGCACTGCTTCTAGGAGTCCAGCAAAGTGGGTCCAGGTCCCCAGCCTTGCAGCATTTCTAGAGGTGAAGCCTGCATCTTTTATCCTTGAACCCAGGCTGGCCTGGAGACCTGCTTTATCTACTAGAGGGCAGCAAAGTGAGGCTACACCAGTTCAGAGTGGAGGCTTTATGTCTTCCCTCCCTCTCTCAGACCCATCTCTACCCTGACCTCAAGCCTGAGTTAGCCTCCTAGAGGATGAAGCACTACATGAAGTGAGTTACAACAGCATTCACCATACCCAGCATGCTGTAGGTTGATGATAGATGTGTGGCCACAGTTGGATCTGCCAATCCCAATCTGCATCCCCAAGGCCTGGAGGGGAGAGAGAGAGAGGAGAGAGAGAGGAGAGGAGAGGAGAGGAGAGGGGAGGGGAGGGGAGGGGAGGGGAGGAGAGATCAAGATCCAGAGATTCCTGTGTTCTGCTGTGAAAGGAGAGTTGCAGATGGATTATGACGGATCATCAGAGAGGCAGAGAGGGTGGCAGAGGAGGGGGGGGGGGGGGGGAGAGAGAGAGAGAGAGAGAGAGAGAGAGAGAGAGAGAGAGAGAGCACTTGCCTAGCATGTACAAGGCTCTGGGGTCCATCCCTAGCTTGGCAAAAAAAACAAAACATGGACCAAAACTTATCTGACGTCACTGATCCTAGCCCAGCTTGGCAAAGCCTATGGTGACCCTAGAAATCTGAGAAATGATCATTTTTCCAGAGAAACAGTAACTGGTTAAGGCTATTAAGTTTTGGAGTGTTACACAGTAACAGTATTGTGTAGTGATTTCCTACAACTGGAACCATTGCCTCCTGTAGGAAGGACTGTAGGACTCAGAGTCAATGATACAAGGTTCAGGAGCTAAATAAAACTTGTAAGATTCGGGAAGCTCCTGACACAGAATTCACAAGCTCCTCCCTAGGGTTACAAAAGCAATAATGATTGCTGCCAGACTGTCTGACCTATGGAACTGCCTGCAGGTTGAGCTGGGAGCTCCAAAGACCCATGCTGGGGTGGGCTTTTCTGTGATGTAGCTGCCTGCATCATTCACCCTCCTGTAACCACAGCAAACTTACTGCTTCACTAAGCTAGACCAGGGTAGAACCATTCCTTTGGTCTGCTGGCTGGTGGCCTGCCTGGGTTGAAAAGACATTTGTTCATGTCTCTCCAGGAAGTCACACAGCAAACAGATATGAACAGACATGTTTGGAGGTGTCTGAGGACCTGTGGGAAGTCCCATTCCTCCTACAAAAGCTGAGTATATACAGTATCACATGCTTATGGGGAACCTTTGGGGTCCTTTCTGAAGACCCTTCATGGGCCAGAGGGGATAAGGCCTGATGCACACAGGGCTGGGCAGGTCACAGATCGGGGGGGGGGGCTACTTCTGGGCTGGGAGGTTTTGGGAGGGCAGTCTATACCAGAGGGGAAAAGGAGGACCAGCATCACTTTGTCCCAGCAAGTCACTGTCCTGAGTGCCAGTCAGAATGTTTAGGTAGGTGCTTTCTTTTAAAAAGAAACCAAGAGTCTGGAATACTGACCCTACACATGGGCAACTGACTTAAAATCTATGGCTAGGGATGTGACCCATCTGGCAGAGTCCTTGCCTAGCACGCATGAAGCCCTGGGTTCAATTCCCACATAAACCCAGCATGGTGGCTCACACCTGTACTTCTGGCACTCAGAAGGTGGAGGCAGGGGTTCAAGGTCATCCTCAGCTACATAACAAGTTTGAGGCAAGTCTGAACTACATAAAACCCTGTCTCAACAACAGTTATCTATGAAATAAGGGGAGAGCCAATTAAATCCTTTTCATCAAAGTATAGCCCAGCTTGCAGTCCCAGCACTGACCGGAGTTTGCAGGAACACAGAACGTGCCGCTGGGACTCCTAACAGGCCCCAAGTGAAAAGTGTGCTCAGCAAAACTTGTAAAGCGCTGGATTACACAGAAGGTACTGGGAGCTGCCTCAGGCCCCTTGAGAGTACCTCAACTCCAGGATGTACACCTCACACACTGCACACCTCACACGCCCCCTGGAGGTTCCTTTTCATATCTCAATTTATTCAAGTGATAGAAAACTCCTTTAGGCAGCAGGCTGACAAAAATAGGTGTGTAAACATGGCGACTTCCTTCCCTCCCTGTCCCTTCTTTGAGGAGCTTCCTGCTATAGGACAGGACAGGAGGCAGAATTCTAGTTGGCAAATCAGGAGTAAGGTTGCATAAGAGGGCTTGGTGCTGTGGCTAGGCCAGTGGGCGACTCTTTACTGTGCAGAGGCCCCAGCTGGATCAGCCACTGTCATGATTAGGTCACTGAGTTCCATTTCCTAGTGAACTCCTGGGAATCTCTGGTAGTGGCGTAGACCCCTGTGGGGGACAGGCCTCTGGGCAGCAGACACAGGCAGGTGGGGAAGCAGGTGCAGGCTCTCCAGAGCTCTGTATTGCTGGGCCATGAGCCACGCCAGGTGGACAGGTAGGGCACGGCCAGGCAAGGGGTGCAGCGTGCAGTGTCCATGCCAATGGCCTGAAGACTTTCCCTGCAGAAGCCGGGCCTGGCTACCTGGGAAGCTCAGGGTTCTGTCAATCTTTGAAGGGGCTGTGGCTTTCCTCTGTCTGATCCTTCTCGGTGGCCAGCAGTTCCCCGTTCATCTCCTGCAGAGGGTGGTAGGCGTACTCCCCACCCAGGTGTCGGTTCCTCTCTGCCCTGGAGCCCAGGAGCAAGGACACATTGGCCACGGTGCTGATCAGAAGCAGGAAAACCAGGACCAGCGTGAGCACCAGCCAGGTGGTTCTAGGACAGAAGAGAGACCCAGTGTGGGGCTGGGGGGAAGCCTCAGGCACCCAGCAACCACATGGGGAACGATGAGCTCATTGGGCTGGGTGGGGACTGGGGAACACTGAAGACACAGGCTCAGAATAGGACTATTCCCCAGGTAGGAGCACATACTCTGAAAGCTTAAGGCCATTCAAAATATTTTAGAGCTGGATGTGGTAGGGCACAGGTTTAATTCCAGCACTCAGGAGGCAGAGGCCAGCCTGGTCTACAGGGAGACCCTGTCTCAAAATGACACAATTTTTTTTTAATAGGAGTTGGGGGAAATAGCTCATGCTTGCCTTGTTAAGTCTGAGGACTTGAGTTTGATCTCCAGAACCTACTTTTAAACATGCTGCCAGGCGTGGTGGCGCACCCCTTTAATCCTAGCACTCGGGAGGCAGAGGCAGGCAGATCTCTGTGAGTTCAAGGCCAGCCAGCCCGGTCTACACAGTGAGGTCTAGGACAGGGACCCTAGCTCAAAAAGACCAAAAACAAAAAAAAAAAAAACATGGGGCTGCAGGCTTTTAGTCCCGGGCAGAGGCAGGGAGACCTCTGTGAGTTCAAGGCCAGCCAGCCCGGTCTACACAGTGAGGTCTAGGACAGGGACCCTAGCTCAAAAAGACCAAAAAAAAAAAAAAAAAATCATGGTGATGCAGGCTTTTAGTCCCAGGCAGAGGCAGGCAGACCTCTGTGAGTTCAAGGCCAGCCAGGTCTACACAGAGTTCCAGGTCAGCTGGGGCTACAGGCCCCTGCATTCCTGACTGCTGGCTTTACTCGTGTCCATCCCTGAGCTTACAGTGTGGGATCACCTGTCACTCCTGGCCTCGTGCCTGAAATGGCATGCCTCACAGGTATGAGTGTGGGGGGATCAAGCCCCCTGAAGCACCTACCTGGTGAAAAAGGCCATCTCTCCTGCCCTTGATGTGGATTCAGCTGGCCAGAGACACTGCTTCACTGCAAGACACCAGACAGAGGCTACAGGGCAGGGAGGGTCTGCTTACCCCAAACTCTGCCCCAAGGATCCTAGGAGATCCCATACCTTGGGAGACACTGCAGTTACCAGTCTGGGGGTCGCAGGGACACTGGTGCTCACACTGGCAAGGCCTCTGGCAGCCTGGCCCATACCAGCCCAAGGGACACTCTGTGGAAAGGAGATGGGGAGGGAAAGTAGGGCTGGCCTTGGGTGGCAGGGCCTCCTGCTGCAGGACAGGAGGACCTCTGGGTGTGTGTAGAGCCATGCTGAAGGAGATGCCCCATGTTTCCCAAGGCCAGCCCTCAAAGGTGATCTAGCTGTAAACGGGATGTGACTCGGTTTGTAGAGTGTTTGCCTAGCATGCGTGAGGCCTTGGGTTTAATCCCCAGCACTGCATATACCAGGCATGGTAGCATAGGCCTATGAGCCCAGCACTCATCAGAGGTGGAAGCGGGAAGATCAAGAATTCAAAGCTGGGGCTGGAGAGATGGCTGGATGATCTCCAGAACCTACTTTTAAACGGTTAAGAACACCTGGTTGTTCTTGCAGAAGACCTGGGTTCAAATCCCAGCACCCACATGGCAGCTAACAACTGTCCGTAACTCCAGTCCCAGGGGATCTGACAGCCTCTTCTGACCTCTGCGTGCATTGCACAACACGGGTGCACTTACCTACATCATGCAGGCAATACACGCATACATGTAAAAACACCAAAAAAAAGTTTTTTAAAAACTTAAAAAAAAAAAAAAGAGTTCAAAGCCATCCTTGGCTATATAGTGATTTTGAGGTCAGTCTGGGCAACAAGAGACCTGTCTTAAAAAAAAGTTAAGGATGTCAAAGTGACATCACCTGCATTTAAGAGGTGGGCCCTAGAGCTGACAAGCTGGGTCCTTACAAAAACAAAGAGACAGAATTAACCAATAAGGCTAACACTGGGATGACATGACTCAAACCTGGGAATGCCAGGAGCCACCAGAAGCCGCTTTCCAGGTAATAAGAACTCTGTGGGCCTCCCTCAGGAGTGTGGCCTGGTTCACACCTTGGTTTTTCCTGCCTCGTCCTTGGAAGTTAGTGGATACAGAGCTGAGCTCTTGCTGCCTACTTGCTGGGATTTCTTGCAGCAGGCCCAGGAAAGGTGTAATGTGATTCACATGCTAGGTGAGAGGCAGCTTCCAAGCCAGCAGTCATGGGATTTCTTACCTTCACTGCAGTTGGATCCCATCCACCCAGCATCACAGTGGCAGCCAGCTGTCAAGATAAGGTCAAGGAAGCTAGGTGAGGGCACAGGCCAGGCTAGGGTGGGAGAATGGGGTACTGTCAGGGTACCACCCTCATGGGCTCCCCACTCACTTTCTGTGCACAGCCCATGCTGGCTGCAGTTGGATGGGCCACAGTCCAGCTCGTTGCACGCTGTGCCCCTCCAGAAGTGGCCTGTGCACTCACAGTGGCCGTCTACACAGGTCCCATGGCCGCTGCAGTCGGGTGGTTGGCAGTGGGGTTCGTGTACACATACCACAGTGGACACATGGCGGGGACAGCGCCACATGTTGTCCTGGCTATGGAGGATGCAGTGTGTGAAGAGAGGCCTGGGCACTGGCCCCAGGTGACCCCTAAGTCCCTGCTGAAGCCATGAGGACTGTCCCATTCTCAGTTCTCTGATGTGTGTATGTGTGTGTGACATTTGCATGTACATGTGGAGGCCAGAGGACAACCTTGGCTACTATTTCGAATAGCTACCTTTTTAAAAAGATGGTCTTTCTCTGGCCCACAACTCACCAAGTAGGAAAGAGAGCCCCAGGTATCCCTGTCTCTACCTCCCCAGCACTGGGATTCTAACACACGGCCCCCACACCTGGCTTTTCTTGCAGGTTCTGAGGATAGAGCTACTTGACTGAGCTATCTCTCCTCTCCAGCCCCTCCTCAGCTCATCATTCTTCCAGTCCAGGGCCTTTGCACACACTGACTTTTCTGGCAGAGGCTTCCATAGCCCTGCCCAGCCATCTTCTTATCCTTTGACCCTAGGTTTTATTTCATTACCCTCAAAGAGACCTTTCCAGACTGATGACCCAGGTTCCCAGGCCTGGGCAGTGCTGGCTCCCTGAGAACAATCTTGGCTCTTCTACTTGCTCTTGCTTACCCAGGGCAGGGTGCACAGCATGGCCTCAGTATTGGCTGAATGAGACAGCTGGAGGTAAGTCTGAGCTTCAGTCCTCACAAAGGTGGTTCAGGGTCTCTTACCAATGATCTGAGGGGTAACTGGCCAGGGTCCCGTTGAGCACAAATGTGGCAGAACCACCTCCGTCCAGGTTGATTGCGTTGACCACGTCCTGTCCTAGCAAGAATTCCGCCATCTCCCACAGGTTGATGCTGTGCAAAGGGGAGTATGGCTGAGTCCAGGGTCTGGCTTGACTATCTTCCTTCAGACAGTGGACAAGTACTGTCACTTCCACTGGGGCAGGCAAACTTCTAAACGTCCCCCCACTCTGCCCCCTGAAAACTGTGACTATGGGAAGGTGGGGGATAGCTGGGTATAAACATCCCCAAGAATTCCAGGACTCACCCACGCTGCTCCGTCTGTCCATCTGCATGGAACAGTACCAGCTGCCCCTTACGGTCGTGACCCACTGCTGTCCTGGCTGATATCACGTTCACAAATTTGCTAAAAGAGCCTGAAGGAGAAGTGGCTTGGCTGATCACCCAGCTCTGCAAGGGACCTCTTGGTCTCCACCAATGTCCTTTTTTTCTGGTGGTTCCAGGGACAGAGCCTAGAGCCTTATATACGCTAGGGAAGTACTGGATCACTGAGCCACATTCCAGTCCCTTCTCCCACTTCTTGCCAAGCACCATGGTCCACCTCCTGGTCTAGGCTACCTCGCCCCTCTCTGGATATACAACAGTCTCCTTCCTGGCTTTCTTTGTTCCCCTCTGCCCTGTCCCAGGCAGTCTTTATGCTACAACCTAAGGGCTCTTTAATGTGATACTAGCCTCCATGGAAACCCTCAAAATCCAGTCCTAGCATGAGCTCCATAGCCTCACTCATAGGGTGTCCCGACATTACCCAGTGGCTAGTCGCTGCCTTAGGGTCCTGTGCCCTGCTCTCTGGCTGGGAACTGTATGCCTCTGCCCTGAGCTCTTCTGAGAGCTTGCTTCTTCCTCAATCATACCTTCCCAGACTCCCCATCTGAAACAGCCAGGGACTCTCAGGGCCAAAGCATCCCTTTCCCAGCCCAGTATTTGCAAGTCGGTGCTCATGTGTGGTGTATGTGTGTGTATATGAATACATGTGCATGTGTGTGTATAAGCCTATGGTCAGAGGATAACCTCAGGTGTCACTCCTGAGGAGTCTTCTACTTTCTGTTTGAGATGTGGTCTCTTGTTGGCCTGGAACTCTATCATGTAGGTCAGTTCATCTGGCCAGTGACTTTCAGCGATCCACCTATCTCCTGCTCCCATTTCACCAAGGTTGGAGCTGCAAATATGCACCACTGCACTTGGCTTTTTGTGTGTTCTGGGGCTTGAACTCAGGTCCTTATATTTGTGAGGCAAGTGTTTACCGACTGAGCCAACTCTCCAGTTCTACCCCAAGTGACTCTTAAACTTGAGCATCTGCCAAGTTACCAAGGCCCATGAAGCCTATACACACAGGGCTCACCTAGTGGGCTCTGAACAGGAGGCTAAAGATGGGTGGGCTCATGTATCTGCATTTCAAACAATCTCCTAGGCCCTGTGGAGGCTGCCACAGAATTCTTTTCCCCATCACTCTTTACCCATCTCTTTCTTGGTACTTATCAATTCTTTTTTGAGATAGGGTCTCCCTGTAGCCCCTGCTGTCCTGGAACTCACTGTGTAGACCAAGCTGGCTTCAAACTCACAGAGATCAGCTTGCCTCTGCCTCCAAAATGCTGGGATTAAAGGTGTGTGCTACCATGCCTGGCATATTTATCAATTCTTTCAGCTTACTGTGATTCTTCCTTCTTAGATAGTCAATATAAGACTGTCTGGATGTCCATGACTCCCGCAGTAGAGCTAAGCACTAAGTAGCTGCTCAATAAATGTTGCAGGATCACTGAAGAACAGCCATTTGCACTGTTCCTGGCTCTCTAGAAAGCAGCTTCTGTGGCAGGCAAGATGACTCAGTGGGCAAAGGCACCTGTTGCCAAACCTGACTACCTGAGTTCAATCCCTAGGACCCACATGGTAGAGAGAACTAATTCCTACAAATTGTCCTCTGACCTCCACATGCACACCATAGCATAGGTACACACACAACACATACACACAAACCCACTCAAAATAAATTTTAAAAATATAATTTAAAAAAGACAGAAATAAAAAGAAACCGGCCTTTCTGACCTGTCTCCTGTGTCTCGTCGCACTCGATGGCCTGGCTCTCATTGATGTAGATACTTCCATTGCGGATGAGCCACACGACCCCGCTCAGCAGCTGAATGAATGGATTCACAGTGTCTAGAACCTCCTCCTCAGACAGGTACCTGGAACCAGGGAAGCAAGAGTCTCACCCATTGGCAGAGGTAGCTCTGGGCACCAATGGACTTCTTGATGTCCATTTTTCTGTAAATTTCCTTAAATGATTCCCTACTTGGCAGCTCTTCCTTGCTGCCCCCTCTCTGCCTTGAACAAAAGGACTGACAGTCAAACTGCTAGCTGGACTGCCCCTTATGTCAGCACTGGTCATCTGGACTATTCCACACGCTTGAGACAACCACATAAAGGCTTCAGTTCCTGAGCCTCAGCCTCAGGCTCAGCCAGGGCTGTTTGAAACACTTTGCATCAGAATTTTTGCTGTCACAAGCTTTGGGGAACTCTAGATCTCTAGCCATTTCTACTCAGGCCAGAGGGGGGAGCACCTCCCCTGTTGGTCTTTCAGGACTGTTGTGATTGATGCTTAAGAGGCAATAAAAACAAAAACAACAACAAAAAAAGGCAAACCTTCATTTGTGCACATGGTGTGCTGTAATTGGTACACACATCCCTTCTCTGACTACATCAGCAGGTGTTCAGTCGGAGTGAGCTGGAAGATACCTTCCCGGGTTCTGCCTCCCCTGAAGTACCCACATTAGATGCAATGAAAGGGCTTTACTCTCTTGCCAACTTTAGTAATGTCTGCTGAGTAACACAGGGAAAGCAGCAGAGAGCTGTGAGAGGGACAGAGCAGGCCGTTGCTCCAGCTCAGAAGTTGGAGGATGGACGGGGAAGATGGCTCAGTGGAAAAAAGCCATCCTACTCAGGCATGAGGTCCTGAGTTGAGATCTCCAGTACCCATGTAAAAGCTGAGTGTGGCAGCATGCAACTACAACTCCAGCGCTGGAGAGGCTGGAGGCAGGCAGCAGGAGGATCCCTGGGGCTTGCTGGTTAGCCAGTCTAGCTCAGTGAGCTCTAGGTTCAGGGAGAGACTTTGTGTCAGAAAATAAGATGGAGAATAATGGTGCTGGAGAGATGGCGAAACGGTTAAGAGCAGTTACTGCTCTTGCAGAAGACCCACATGGCAGCTAACAACCCTCTGTAACTCCAGTTCCAGGGACTCCAGTGCCCTCTTCTGTTTTCCACGGGCACTGTGCAACATGGGTACACATGCAGGCATAATACTCATATATGTTAAAAAAAAAAAAAAGATAGGTTGGGCATGGTGGTGCACTCCTTTAATCCCAGCACTTGGGAGGCAGAAGCAGGCAGATGTCTGAGTTCAAGGCCACCCTGGTCTACATAGCAAGTTCCAGGCCAGCTGGGGCTACAGGGAGACCCTGTCTCAAAAAGACCCCCCCCCAAAGATGGAACAATAGAGAAAGACAGCTGACATTTAATTCTGGCTTCAACATACAACCATACAAATGCATACATTCACACACCATACATTTTTAAAAAGTAGGAAGGTGCAGACCAGAAAAAGTGCAGTAGTGGTAACTGTGACAGTGGCCACAGCACAGCTCAGACAGCTGAACAGTATGAGAGGAAGGCCTAGGACAGGGACAAGGGAGACAGTGGACATGTACAAAATGGAGTCTGTAGAGAGCCAGGAAAGAGAAAGTGCTGGCCCTGGTCACTGAGAGTGCCAGAGTGCCAGACCTTTAGGGCCCTGATATCCCAGGCTCATGAATGGTGACACTGGTTGCTGTCAAGGGCTTAGGAGCCAAAACCTGATAGGGAGGCCTGCTGGAAGCCACAACCCCAAAGGTCTCTGTAGGAGCTGTACCTCTGACAGACTGGAGGCCTGGAACACCCTGCTAGAGAGCTGGAATACTATATGGCACCACCTGCTGCTGCTGTCTACCTCCTGTCATCTCTGGCTGCTGTCAAACTCCAAGGGATACAAAAGCTGTCAAAGATGCCACTTGAAAAGCTCCATTCCTGCCCTGGATTCCTATCAGGGACAGCAAAAAGCCTCCAGCTAGAAGGCTGGGGAACACTACCTAAATTCAGCACAATGTCCAGCTGGTTCCCATGGCCTCGCTCAACACGAAATGTGAAATTACTTACCTGGCTTGTGTTTGCTTTCTTAGGAGTGGGGGAAAGTCTGCTAAGACAACAGCTGTGTGTGCTGGCTCATAGTCGCCTTCCTGGAGCCCAGCACACAGCCTGACCACAAAGCAAGTGCTGGATGACACACGAATACGCTCTGCAAGAAGTGTCACCATCCTCACTCCACAGATGAGCAATCGGAGGCCGGGCTTGGTTAGGTGACTGTGCACCCAGGCATGGCTCTGAATGCACATGGGAGACCCTCTGCCCTTGAAGCCCCAGGGGCTCCCCGCCTCCTCACCCGGTGACCAGGGTCCCGTCGCGGCGGATCCCGAACTGCGCGTTCTGCAGCCCCCCGGAGCTGCTCACCCGCCGCCCGTCGCTCACCACGTTCCCCAGGCATTCGCCGGTGCCCATGCGGAAGAAGCCACCGTTCTGCGCGACGCGGCAGCCGGCCGGGACGGCCGTGTCCTCCACGGTGGCGCGGCGTCTCTGCGCGCAGCCTCCGGGTCCCCGGGGCTCCAGCACCGAGAAGGTGCGCAGGGGCGCGGCGACCCGCGTCAGGTGGCCAGCCACCGCGCGGCCGCTGAAGTGCGACACGAAGGCGCGCACCACTGGGTGCGGGCTGACGCCTGGGGTCGGGGGCGGCGGAGGCGGAGGCCAGCTCTCGTGCTCCAGGCTGCCCGCGCGCACCCGGGCGCAGTCCCGCAAGGTTCGCGCGCGCGCGCGCGAGTAAGGCAGCAGCAGGTCATCGTCGCGGGAAACCCTGCGGGGACCGGGCGATCGTGAGCTGGGAGGGCTGCACCCGTGAGCACGCAGGGCAGGGCCACCCCAGCCCGGCGGGTCTCCGCAGCTGCACTCACCTCGAGCCCAGGCTGCACCACGCCGCCCCTAGCAAGCCGAGCAGCGCCGGCAGGAAGAGCAGCCCGCGCCCCCTGGGCGCCGCCATGTTGGACTAGGGCACGCGTCACGTGGGCCTGCCCCACGTGAGTCCAGACTGGCGTTGGTTGCTTTCAGGTCTGAAGGTCGTGAACACCTTCCTGGTGTTGCCAGATCCCTCCAAGTTATACCAGGCAGGGTAAGGCTAGAAGAGAGGTGGGTAACTTTTTGGTTTTGAGATTGGATCTCACTATGTAGCCCTAGCTGGCCTGAAACTCACTATATAGACCAATATAGCTGCAACCTCACAGAAATCCACCTATCTGCCTTCAAAGTACTGGGATTAAAGGCATGGGCACCACGCCCAGGGTGAGTAACATTTTCTCTAGATGCAAAGTCAGTCCCATAGAAAACTGTAAGAAGGGGGCAGGGACTGTGGTTTAGTTAGTGGAGTTTTTGCTTAGCATGCATGAAGTCTTGGGTTCCATCCCCAGCACTGAATAAACTGGGAGTGGTGACCCTCGCTCTAATCCCAGAATTCAGCAAGGGGAGGCCGGAGAATCAGAAATTCAAGGTCATCCTTGGCTATAGAGCCAGTTTAAGGTAAACCTGGGCTACATCAAGCCTGGTCTCGAAAAGAAAAGGAACTGCTGTAAAGAACTCCTTTATTCGAGTGGTGGCGAATGCCTTTAATCCCAGCACTCAAGAGGCACAGGCAGGCGGATCTCCAAAAATGCAAGGCCACCCTGGTCTACATAGTAAGTTCCAGGACAGCTACCTGGAGACCCTGGTCTACCAAGCGAGTGCTAAGCCAGCCAGGGGCTACACTGTGATACCAAAACCAACAAAACCAACCAACAAAAAAGAACTCCTTTACACCTTTCACTGATGTTTGCTGTTTGTACGTATTTATACGCATGAAAGAAAAAGTTTTTAAAAAGAGACTGCTTTTCTGGAGCTTTCTCCTCCCAAGGCAGTGCCCTAGATGAGGTGGTGATTGGGTGCTAGTCTAAAGTCAGGACCACAGCCACCTTGAGCCATGCTCCTTGGAGTCTATGTGTGACAGGATCAACCATCTGTGTTGGATTGTGTACCCCTTATAAGAAAATTATCAGTCTTTTCTGTCAGACACTGTGAAACTTTGGTCTGGGACAAGGAATTCAAATATTTTAATTCCCCTACACACACACACACACACACACACATGCACCTTATAAAACTTTCCAAGCCCAGTCCTCTTCCTCCAGCCGTTTTCCCTGTCTTCACTTCCTTTATACTGATTCTTTTAAAACTAGCCAAACTTGAAGACTGTGAGGTGGACCTCTGCCAATGGGGAAGACACAGTACTCTTTTCTTAGGAATAAAAAACTACCAAACTTCTTGGTCGGGAGTCCTTACTCCATCTGAATGACTCTGCGCCCTTTTGCAAAAGTAAAATTTGCCTTGCAGAGTTATTTTATTTTGTGAGTTTTCTTTGTGTGGTATCAATGGGGTGCTTGGACCTCAGATTTTATTTCTAGCCACCCCCTCCCCATTCATGTTCTTTGTGGGACCTCAGAATGTGAGTTTATTTGGATGTCAGTTCTTTCCACACAAAATTAGTACAGGTGAGTTCTCCCTAAAGCAAAATGAGCCCCAGGTCTAATCTGGCTGCTGCTCTTAAAAATCAGAAATGAGCCGGGTGTGGTAGTGCACACCTTTCATCCTAGCACTTGGGAGGCAGAGGCAGGCAGATTTCTGTGAGTTCAAGGCCAGCCTGGTCTACATAGTGAGTTCCAGGACAGCTAGGGCTACAGAGAGACCCCATCTCAAAAAGACAAAAAAAAAAAAAAAAAGAGAGCTGGCCCAACATCTCTACAGTGATGTGATATGAGGTTGTGTATCTCTGCTCTTTGTTTTGGCTGCTAAAGTCAGCCAGCAAGTCCGGCCTGCTGTCAATCTCCCTGGCTCCAGAAATGCTTTCCTCTGTCTGCTGGGAGCAGCCACTTGCAGGAAAGTTCTGACATCTCTGTTTTGATGCCTGCTACTTCACTGAGTTGCCCTAAGCACTTACTAGGTACCATAGAAATCCTCCATTTGATTTTGTTGTTTGTTTTGAGACAGGGTCTCACTAGGTAGCCCTGGCTGACCTGGAACTCACTATGTAAACAAGGCTGGCCTTGTACTCAGAGATCTGCCTGCCTCTGCCTTTAAAAAAATTTATTTATTTTTATGTGTATGTGTGTATTGCCTGCATATAGGTAAGTGCACCCGTGTTGTACAGTGCCCGTGGAAGACAGAAGAGGCTGTTGGATCCCCTGGAACTGGAGTTAGGGACAGTTGTTAGCCGCCATGTGGGTGCTGGGATTAGAACCTGGGTCTTCTGCAAGAACAGCCAGCGTTCTTAATCGCTGAGCCGTCTCTCCAGCCCGCCTCTAATTTTTGAATGCTGAAATTAAAGGTGTCTGTCACCATGCCAAGCTACAGAAACCCTCTGAGCTGAGGAGCTCAATCCACTATTCTAGCCAGAGCAGCTAACCAAGCCAGAGTTACAGGGTTATGGCCCCAATGGAGGTGGGAATCAGACCGCCCGCCACTCACTGGATAGAAGAAAGTATTAGGCTTTTCTAGATTTCTTAAGAGTGAGTAAAGCCTGGCCCCTGCCCGTTACTGTTGGCCCCTTCACTTGTACACATATTCTGGCCTTCAGGTTTGCAGGCTGGTGGGGCTGTGAATGAACCCAGAAGCTACTGAGCTTTCATTTCCCTGGTGCTGAGAATAAAGTGTGACTTCCTGGCTTCATCTTGCATAAACATCCCGACCTTGTGGTTTTGTCTGGCCCTACTGATAAAATTGGGGGATGTTTAGTGTACAAGTTGGTGAGAAGGCACAGGAAGGGGTGGACCAGACTCCCCAGCCGCAGTGGGAGGAAGCCAGCTCATCCTGTTATAGCTCTGAGAAAAGCCTTTCCTAGATGATCAGCATGAGCAGGGTCCCATCCAAAGGTCAAGGCAGCAAAAGCAGAAACAGATTATGGAGACTAGGTGCTGGGCCTTTTAATCACCCCTCAGATATCTGTGGGCACCAGGAAAGAGTCATTGATACTAGCAAAGATGGCCTCAAGTTTCCACAGCATCACCCAAGTGACTGCTGTGGTGACCCACAGAGCAGAGGTGTCACCTGAGCGGAACAGTCATGTTAGGCTCAACTGAGCGAACTACAGAATTAGCATTTTCTTTTTTTTTTTTGAGGCAGGGTCTCATTTAGCCCAGGTTGACCTCAAATTTTCTGTGTAACCAAAGATGACCTTGAAGTCCTGATCCTCCTGCCTCTACCTTCTGGGTGCTTGGGTTACAGGCCTGTGTTACCACACCTGTTTCATGAAGTGCTAGGGATTGAACTCAGAGCTTTGTGCTAGTCTCCTTCCTACTCCTGAATAGTCCTTTTGTGTCATGTAAAATCTAGATTTCATATGAAAGAAAACAGTGTTTGTCTTTCTGAGTCCACCTTAGTTCATGTAACATGAGGATCTCTAGTTCCATTCATTTTCCTACACATGACATAATTCCATCCTCTTCCGGGGGTTGAATAAAACTCCATTGTGCATATGGACCACATTTCTTTCATTCATTCATTCATTCATTCATTTATCTGTTGATGGGCATTTAGACTGGTTCTATATCTTCACTGTTGTGTATAGTGCTGTGGTAAACATGGATATTGCAGATATCTCTGCTGACTTAGAGTCTTGAGTAAATATCCAGTAATAGTATAGCTAGGTCACATGGTGGATATAGTTTTAGGTTTTTAAAAAATTTTATAAGATGGGTGTGGTGGTACACACCTTTAATCCCAACACTGACTGCAAGAACAGTCAGTGTTCTTAACCACTGCACCGTCTCTCCAGCCCCATCAATTATTTTTTTATTTTATGTGTATGAGTGTATTGCCTACATGTATGTGAGTGCACCCATGTCATGCAATGTTGAGGGGGTCAGAAGAGGGCTTTGGATTCCCCTGGAACTGGAGTTAAGGTCAGTTCGCAGCCACCATGTGGGTGCTGGGAATCGAACCCAGATCCTCTGCAAGAGCAGTCAGTGCTCTTAACCGCTGAGCCATCCGTCCCGCCCCAGCTTTAGTTTTGTTTTTTTTTTTTTTTTTTAAACAAAACAAAACAAAACAAAACTACTTCTGGGTTGGAGAGATGGCTCAGTGGTTAAGAATAATGAATGTACTTGCAGGAGACCCAGGTTTGAATCCCAGCACCCATATGGCAGCTAACAACTGTCTGTAACTCCAGTTCCAGGGGAATCCAAAGCCCTCTTCTGACCCCCTCAACATTGCATGACATGGGTGCACTTACCTACATGCAGGCAATACACGCATACACATTAAAAAAAAAAAAAACCCTATACTTATTTGTGTGTGTGTGTGTGTGTGTGTGTGAGTGCACATGTGCCACAATGTGAGTGGAAGTCAGAGGGCAACTTAACTTGCAGGAGTTAACTCTCCTACCATGTGGATCCTGGAACTTGAACTTGGCTCATCAGGCTTGGCAGCAGGCACTCTTACCTACTGAACCATCTTGCCAGCCCCTGTATTTACTTTTTTGAGGAACTTTCATGCTGATTTCCATAGTGGCTGCACTAGTTTACCTGCTAGCCAGCAGTGTGTATGAGTTTCTTTTCTCATTATCTCACCAGCATTTGTTGTTATTTGTGGTTATTTCTGGCTGACAGCCATTCTGACTATGTAAGATAGAATCTCAGTGTGTTTGTTTGTTTTGAGACTGGGTCTTCTTCAAGGCTGGCCTTGAGTTCCTGACCCTCCTCCAGAGTGCTGGGATCACAGGCATGTGCACCAATCCTGCTCTTGCTTGCTGCTGGGGATGGAACACAGGCCCCAGATGCTGTCAGCTGAGCTGCACCCCCAGCCCCCAGTGCAGTTCTGATGTGCGTTTCTGTGAGAGGATGCTGTTTCTTGAGATTGACCTGTCAGTGCGGGTGCTCCTGTCACCACTTCCGGCCATGGTTTAGTAACTAAGCTTCCCAACTGTGTCAGCATCAAGCTTGGTGATTAATTCATCTCAGGTTCAGGAAGGATGGGGTGGTATAACTCCCCTCTAATCTATTTATGTGCAGCCACTTCTCCCAAACCAGTTCATCTTGGTCACTTTCTGTTTGTGAGGTGATGCAAAAGAAATTCTTGAGTGCCAAGTGGATATTACATTTTGGCTCCTGATTCCCCAAGAAGACAGCAGCCTCAGTAACAAGTCCAACTTGCCAGTGGATTCCAGGCACTGTCCTCTGGACCTGACAGCTTAAGAGGGATTGTGGTAAAGTGTCCAGGGGATAGCAGGGAGGATTAGGTGGAGAGATTTAAATCATCAGTCCATACCTCCACTCCCGGTTTCCAGCAGGGCACCAGATAAAGAAGAGCTAATTCTTTTTTAAAATTTTTTATTATTTTTATTTTATGTGTATGAATGTATTGCCTGCATGTAGGTAAGTGCACCTGTGTCGTGCAATGCCCATGGAGGACAGAAGAGGCCATTGGATCCCCTGGAACTGGAGTTACGGACAGTTGTTAGCTGCCTGTGGGTGCTGGGATTCAAACACAGAGCCTTCTGCAAGAATAACCAGTGTTCTTAACCGCTGAGCCATCTCTCCAGCCCCAGAAAGAGCTAATTCTTAATTAAATTGATTTTTAATGATAAACCTTTTCACATTTTTAGATATTTTTGTGTGTATATGTGTGAGTTTGGGCATGTGCATGTGTTGGCCAGAGGATAACTTCTCACCTACCACTTTGTTGAAGCAGGGTCTCTCTTGTTTCTGCTGTCCACTGCGTACTCCTGGCGTCTTAGCCCTCAGGCTTCCAGGCACTTCTGTCTCTGCCTCCTACCTCTCTTGTTCTAGGAGTGCTGGGATTGCAGAGTTGAGCCACCACATCCAGCTTTTGACACAGGGATCAAACTCAGGTTGTCTGGCTCTCAAAACTTGTGCCTTTACCCCTGAGCCATCTCTCTGGTCCCTACTTTTTTTTTTTTTTTTTTTTTTTTTTTGAGACAGTGTCTTATATAGTCCTGGCTGGTCTTGAACTCGGTATGTACTGAGGATGCCCTTGGACTCCTGATCCCATTGCCTCTACTTCCCAAGTGCTTGGATTTCAGGTGTGTGCCACCGTTTTAGGCTACACAAGGGGCATGTTAGTTCTCATGCTCTGGCATGACTTGGTTGTCACAAAAGGACATGGGTGGCTTTTTCCCACCTAAGGCAAAGCAGGACAGTTAGCTCAAAACATCTTCTGGTTTAGGACTGGGTTGAGAGCTAATTTTCTTCTCTGGAGCTTGGTACAAGCAGTATCTACATGCAGTGTGCCATCAGCCCAATAGAGAACATTGAACTCCCTAAGACTGTTCTAGAAGGTCTTTTCTCAATGCTAAATCAGTGTCAGGGCTCCAGATAAAGTATTGAAATAACTCCTTGCTGAATCAGAACACGTGAAAAACTGGAAATGAGACATATAGTGGGGTCCTTATGCTGCTTTGGGATACTCCCCTCATTCTGTGACGGTTACACTTCATAACACCAGGTAACAGTCATCCTCATAGCTATGGAGGTCATGTCAAGATAGGTGCTGTCACTATCCCTATGTTACTGATGGGGAAACTGAGTCACAGAGCAGCCACTGACTTAGTCTAGGGACACAGAGCACTGGGGTTTGAGTCCTGGTGGCCTGTGCACAGAGCCACACTGCTGACCACTGAGCACTCTACGCTGCCTTTGCATAGTGCTGTGGCCACCACACACTGCAACATCACAACCCTGTAGAGTTCTGTGCACAGCATGTGCTGCCTCCTGTAGTTACAGGCTGCTCTCAGAGAGCCTTACTTTTCCTTCCAGAAACAGACAGGCTTTAAGATTGGTGTAGGTGCTGTGGTTTGAAGAGTCCCTGTAAAACTCACAATGCAAGTTATATTTAATTATCTCTATTTCATTTTTAATTAAAGTTTTAAATTACAATTTACTTATTTGTGTGTGTGTGCCACAGTGCTCACTCATGTGGAGGTCAGAGGACAATTCGGGGAAGTCAGTTCTCTCCTACCATGTGGGTCCCAGAGATTGAATTCAGGTTGTCCCACTGACCCATCTCATGGTCCCTATTTTATTTTATTTTTTGAGATAGGATCTCTTAGCCTAGGCTGGCCTTAGTTTCCCTGTGGAGCTGGGGATGACTTTCATCTTCTAATGTTCTTTTTTTTTTTTTTTTTTTTTTTTGAGACAGGGTCTCCCTGTAGCCCCAGCTGTCCTGGAACTCGCTATGTAGACCAGACTGGCCTTGAACTCACAGAGATCCACCTGCCTCTGCCTCCCAAGTGCTGAGATTGAAGGCGTGTGCCACCACACCTGGCATCTTCTAATATTCTTTTTAAAAAAATTACTTTTTATTTTATGTGTATGAGTGTTTTACCTGCATGTAAGTGTATCATGTGTGTTCAATGCCCTTGGAGGCCAGAAAAGGGTGTTAGATTCCCTAGGGACAATTATTAGCTGCCGTGTAGGTGCTGGGAACCAAACCCAGGTCCTCTGCAAGAGCAGCCAGTGCTCTGCTGAGCCATTTCTCCAGCCCCTTCTGACTTTGAACTTTTGATCCTCATGCCTGTACCTCCTGAGTGTTGTGAATCAGATGTGCACCACAGTGCCTGAGATGCTGGGGATTGAACTCATGGCATCATGCATGTTAGGCAAACACTGTACCCACTAAACCATACCCCCAGCCCTCATATTGTAATTTAATTGAACAGAATTAAAAAATGGGACTTTGGAACTGGGTGTGGTGGCACATGCCTTTAATCTCAGTACTCTAGAGACAGAGACTGGTAGGTCTCTCTGAGATCAAGGCCAGCTTGGTCTTCATAGAGAGTTCCAGGCCAGCTGGGGCTATGGGGAGATCCCAACTCAAAAAGACCAAACAAGCCGAGTGTGGTTGCACATGCCTTTAATCCTAGCACTCTAAAGACAGGTCTCTGTGAGATCAAGGCCAGCCTGGTCTACATAGCAAGTTCCAAGCCAACTGGGGCTACAGGGAGACCTTGTTTCAAAAAGACCAAACAACTCCCCCAAACCAAAAGCCAAACAAACAAAAACAAATGGGACCTTGGGGCTGGAGAGATGGCTCAGCAGTTAAGAACACTGATTACTCTTGCAGAGGACCCAGGCTCAGTTCCCAGCACCCAATATGGTGGCTCATAATTGTCCTGAATTCCAGTTCCAGGTAATCCGAGCCCTCTTCTGACCTCTGTGGGCATTACTCACAGGGTGCACTTATACACATGCAGGCAAAACATTCATACACATAAAATAAATAAATGAATAAATAAATATATAAATAAGTAAAGTGGGACCTTAAGTCAGGCATGGTGTCACACTCCTGTAATCCCAGCACTTGGGAGGCTGAGGCAGGATGATTGTTGTGAGTTTGAGGCCAGTGTTGTCTACAGTGTGAGGCACTGTTTCAGAAAAAACAAAACAAAACTAACAAAAGGTGAGGTGGGACTGTTAGGTGGTGACCAGGTCCTGGGGGCTCTGCCATTCGGAAGGATCCAGGCCACTTCCTTGGGCCTTGCCATGGGTTTGTTTTAAATCCATCCACCTCCCCATTTCTGTCTCCAGCATGCTCTCTCCTTGTGCCACCCTGCCCGAGTGTCTAGACTCCAGAACTATAGGTGAAATAAACTGCCATTGTTTATAAATCACCCAGACTCTATTTTCCTGTTATAGTTGCAGAAAACAGAGTAAGACACTAAGTCCATTCAGGATTTGTATTAACTGGGATTAGGGACTTGAAACAGAGACCAAGAAGTCACCCAAATTGTCCTTAAGCTGAGGAACAAGACTAAGCTCCTAGCAGGATGTGGTGGCACACACCTGTAACCCTAGCACTCTGGAAGTGGGGGTAGGAGGATCTTGAGTTTGCACCCAACTGGCTACACATCAAGACACACACACACACACACACACACACACACACACACACACACACACAACTCTGATTGGCTCTGCTTTGTATTCTGCTGACACCTAATCATCCCATTCCCCCACCCAGCCTTCCCAGCCCCGTTCCCTCGGTTTCCAAGCCCACTCCCCAAGTGGCGATGGGTTGCAGTTGCTCCCTTTCCTCAGCTTCCTCCTCAGCATGTGACTTTTGACTCCAGGACCTAAGAAGAAGTGTTATCGGCCTGTCCATCCTCTGGGCATCAGGCATAGAAGTATCTTGGTAGCTGCTTGCTGCTGACTACATGGACAGATGCGGCGCTCCATCGTCAGGGCCGGGGTGGGGGTGATCTGCCAGGATGTAGAGGAAGCCACCCAGGGCTGCCACCGCAGTGGCTGTGTTGTGGCAAGAGCAGCCATCTGTGAAGAGAGACCCCTGGGAGCAAACTTGGCCCTTTGTTCAATATAGTCCATCATAAATGCCTTATGGCTATCCTCCAGCCACATGCCAAGCTCTTTTCGGGTGCACTGGTGCCCTGTGCAGACCGGCCTTGCTGGCTGTTGGATGCCTGCTCTGTGAGGTGGTTGTCCAGCTCCCTCCCAGCTTTGCCTTGAAGGCCTTCCTTCCTTCCTTCCCTCCCTACTCTTCCCCTCCCTCCTCTCCCATTCCCCTCCCTCCCTCCCCCTCTCCCCGTCTCCCCCTTTCCTTCCTTTCTTTCTCATGTAGCCCAAGCTGGCCTCAAACTCCCTATGCAGCCTAGAATGATCTTGAACCTCTGATCCTCCTGCTGCCCCTCCCACATTCTGGATTACAGGAGTGCACCACCATGCTGGTTTATATGGTGCTGAGGATGGAACCCAAGACTTCATGTATACCATCTTTTTCCTTTTTCCTATACAGTTAAACCCTGAAACCCTGTTCTCAGCCTCAGCACTGCTGGGCTCAGCATGCAGCTTCTCATCATAGCCAGGGTACCTCAGGGCCCAGGTGTGAACAGCAGGATTGTCCTCAGACCCCTCTGAATGGATTCCCAGGCTCTTTGCTTTCCAGTTTCTGGCTAGGTTTGGCCAGCAGGGTGTGCTGCCAGTAGAGGAGGGGAAAAGCCAGAGGCTGTCTTCTTCTCCTCAGTGTCCACCCCTATGGCTTTGCTTGCCTTGCTGTCGTGGACTTGGGGGAGATAGTGGCTTCCTACAAGGTTTAGTCTGTAGGTCCCCTACCACCACCATTTTAAAAGTGTTTGCCCTGCTGGGGATGGAACCCAGGGTTTTGCACACACCATGCCAGGCAAGTGTTCTACCACTGAGCCACATCCCCAGACTGATCCCGTTTATCTGTTGTCACCTTTTCCAGTAGCTCTGCGATGGTTCCCTACCAACATAAATCTGATTGTCTTGCATTGTTAGGCAAGTGCCCCACCACTGAGTGGTATTTCCAGCCCAGAAACTAATTTCTCAACACAGTCTCTCTCTCTCTCTCTCTCTCTGTAACAGAGTCTTGCTGTATAGCCAAGATTCATGGTAATCCTCCTGCTTCAACCTCCTGAATGCTGGGATTATAGGCCTGTGCCATCACATCTGGTTTAGATAGAAGAGGTGATCAGATGTTGCCCTGTCCCTTTACCTCCAAAACATGGGGCCATGGGCCCTGGGGGCCCTTCAGTGACTCAGGAGCCTTTCTCCATTGAGGGCAACCTATGCTAGAAGGGCATGAACTGGGGCTGGGTATAGCTCAGACCTAGGATACCCAAGGCCCCAGGTCTTATTCCCTAGCACTGGGAAAAACTAACGAAATAAACAGATGCAGGCCTCGCTTGCTAGGTTGATTGACAAGGAGGCCCTTGGGCCCTGCATCACCTGTGAACAGTTTTTCCCGCCTCCTCACTCTTCTCAGAATGTGCTGCTGGTGTGCAGTGGCTTCTGGAAGTTCTCCCTTCGTAGCTAGAGAAGAGCCAAAGGTAGAGTTCTCCAGATGAACTGTAATCCTCTCAGCAAACCTCGTCTCCTCACCACCCATCAAGGGACTCAGTTCTACAAGGCCAACCCTGGAATAGAGGTTTCCTCCTGAACCTGTCTGTAGATCATTCCACAGGACCACGTTTGTCCTTTACTGATGATTCTTATATTGTGTCCCATCCCTCCATATCAGTGTCACCAGAGGGGTTGGTGAGAAATGCAAGGACCTGCCTCCCTGAGCACTCCCTTTAGGACCCCATACTCTGTAAACCCTGGTAACCCTGGTAATTTGTTAAAGAATTAAGAAAATTATATACATAGTGGCTGGAAAGATAGCTCAGTGGTTAAGAGTATTGGCTGTTCTTACAGAAGACTCAGGTTCGAATCCCAGCACCCATGTGGTGGCTAACAGCCATCTGTAACTCCAGTTCCAGGGGATCTGATGCTTTCTTCTGTCTTCTGAAGGTGTTGTAGGACCTTGGTGCACTTACATGCATGCAGGCAATACACTGATACACATAAAATAAAAATAATAAAATATTTTTAAAAATTATGTGTGTGAAGCCAGGCGTGGTGGCAAACGCCTTTAGTCCTAGCACTTGGGAGGCAGAGGCAGGTGGATCTCTGTGAGTTTGAGGCCATCCTGGTCTACATAGTGAGTTCTAGGCCAGCTGGGACTACAGGGAGACCCTGTCTCAAAAAAAAAACAACAATAAAAAAATTATGTGTATGTGCACATGAGTGCAGTTGCTTGAGGAATCAGATCTTCTGGACCTGGAGTTACATGCAGTTGTAGGTGCTGGTAATTGAACTTGGGTCCTCTGCAAGAACAGTACACACTTAACTAGTCCTGGAATTTTCAGTCCTCTTGTCTCAGCTTGAGTGGCAGGGATGACACAACCCTACCACCTGGCTTGGCTTCTCTCTGATCCCAAAGACAGTTGTTGCTTTGAAAACCCCAAGCTTCTCACTGGGACCCACACTTTTTGGGAGCCTGCTCTGTGGCCAGCAGGGTCTGGATGGTTTCAGGGGTGCATCTGTCTCTCTCACCCAGGAAGGTGGTGATGTTTATGCAAATATATTTACAGATGAGGAAATCGAGGCTCAGAGAGCAAAGGGATTTATCCCCAAAGACAACCTGCTGTCATGTGTCACATGGCTGGAAGGGACTCGCCCTGTGCTTTTTGATTGTGTCACTTTCTCTCTGGGGTCTTCCCTGACCCATCTGCCTGAAGAAACTTCCCGTGTTCTCTGTTAGCCTGGCTTGGACTTTGCCCAGAGCCTACATAATGCCTGTGTATTCATAGACATTCAGTCAATACTCTGAAGGAATGAATAGGTTGACACAGGTGCAGGGGGACAAGTTTCCCACAGAACTGCCTTTTGGCTTACAGACTTGGGCCCTCAAAACTCCAAGCCCATTTCCACCTGTATGTGCTCACACGTGCAAATATGTGTGTTACAAAAATCACAGTCAGTGCTCAAAGCTGCTGAGACTTCTTCACAGATGACCTAGAAACCCAGGCCCACCCCCTGCTGCTCCCAGCAGAGGTGCAACTCACCAGGCTTCCCGAAGCATCCTGCTCTGGGGTTCTGCCAGCTGAGAATGGCTTCCAGCCAGTGCAGCTTGTAGAAGTCAGAGAAGCCGGCCAAGCCACAGAACATGACTGCAAGCACACAGCAAGGTCCCTCAGTAGGCCTGTCTCCACCTCCTCCTCTGGCCCTGGGGCCATTACAGAGCCACCCATCAGGAGGGGGTGTTTAACACAGGGGCTAGAAAGGTCCTCTTCCTTGGCCACCAAAGGCTCCCGGGGCCCTGGTCCTGTTTTCCACATGGGACCAATCATAGGGTCAAGATTGGTGGATGCAGCAAAAAGGCAGCTGCCCAAAGACTCCCTTTCTCCTCATCACTAAGACTTTGGGGGGGGATCTCTTTGCCAGTCAGTTGGTCAGACTTGGGGGACGAAAAGCAGTCATATGGTGACAAGCTTGTATACCACGGCCCATCACATTTAGGTTCCTGATAAGCAATGGATACGTTTCCAATAGGAGTATATTCCATTCTGTATTTGGGCTGTACTCATGCTATGAGTTTATTCATTTCTTTGAGTTCTTAAAAAAAAAATGTAGGCCAGGCGTGCTGGTGTACACCTTTAATCCCAGCACTCGGGAGGCAGAGGCAGGTGGATCTCTGTGAGTTCAAGGCCAGCCTGGTCTACATAGTGAGTTCCAGGACAGCTGGGGCTACAGGGAGAACCTGTCTCAAAAAAGACCAAAAAGAAAAAAAAAAAAAAGTAGTGGGGCGTGGTGGCTCAGGCCTTTAATCCCAGCATTCAGGAGGCAGAGGCAGGCAGATCTGTGAGTTCAAGACCAGCGGATTTACACAGTGAGTTCCACGCCAGCTGGGGCTATAGGGAGACCTGTCTCAAAAAGACAAAAAAAAAAAAAAGTTGTGTATGTGCACCTGTGTGGGGCAGGGGTGTGTGCACATGAGGTCCTCTAGGGTATCATTCCTCAGGAGCCTGACCACCTCATTTTTATTTAATATTTTTATTACATTATTATTTACTACATTATTTATGTCCCATGGCACATGAGGACAACTTAGGGATGGTTGGTTCACTCCTTCCACTATGTGGATCTCAGGGATTGAATTTATGTCCTTAGGCTTAGAGGCAAGCACCTTTACCACTAAGCCATCTTACTAGTCCCACCTTTTTTTTCAAGACAGGGTCCCTCTCTGGGACCTGGGGCTCACCCATTAATATAGGTGGCTGGCCACACAGTCCCAGGATCCACCTGTCTTCAACTCCCAAACACTCCCAGGGTGCCTGACTCGGTCTCCCTTGTACTGGGATTACAAGCATGTGTCACCATAGCTGGGTGCTGGGGATTGAACTCAGGCCCTCATGCTTACAAAGCAGTCTCCCCAGGCCTGAGCCATCTGTCTTCAGTTACTTAGTGAGTGCATGTAGCCCCCTTGTGAACACCCCACCACCCTATCCTGAGGGCAGAAGGCCAGGCTCACTGTTTTCCATGAAGAGGTCCTGGGTGGGGTAGGTGTATCCTATGGCCTCAGCTCTCCGGTTCAGATCCATCATGTTTGAGCAGAAGATGCTCATGTAGTGCTGGCTCTGGCGGAACAGCCCCTCTGTGCATCCTTGCTGGGGGACAAACACCAGGAGACTGGGGAGTGGGTGTATAGGAGACATATCTGAGCCTCAAAGACTTTTGGGTAAAGGGGAGGCCATGCAAGTGTGTCTAACCTTTTGTTATTGTAACCTGATGTCATCTGTACAATCAAGTTACCAAAAAAAAAATCACAAAAAATGTCATGTTTTAAATAATATTACAGTTTTGTGCTGGGTTGCATTCAAAGTTATGTTGAGGTGTATGTGGCCTCCTGGCCCCAGGTTAGACACTGGGTAAGGGTTATACTAGAGGGACTTTTGTTTGGGTGGGCACTGCAGTTAGGGAGTGCAGACAGTAAGGGGCACTCTGTAAACATTCCCCTTGCCTTGCATTCTTTTCTGTGGGCTCCTTCGGAAGGCTACTCAGAAGTATGGGCCATGGACCTGGCTGGTCCCTACCCCACGCTGTGGAAGGAGAAAGGAGAACAAGTTTTTCTTCCCCACCTGGCACTCACCATTCTGGCCCAGAGGAAGAAGAGCAATTGGTGGGACAGGCTGTAACCTGAACAGCCAGTCTTGGTCATGAGGGTCCTGCAGAAGTCTGAGAGTTCACAGGGATGGCTGCTGGTGGTCCTGAGGAAAGCCAACCCAGGCTGATGGGAACGGTACTCCCTACCCATCCCACCCTGGGTCTCCACACCCATATTTCCCCCAGTGATCATTAGGGTGTCCAGAAGGTTCTGGGCTGGGCACAAGGGCTGTCAGATAAAGAACAGGTGTCCTGGGTCTTATTTTGTTTGGAAACAGGGTCTCTGTAGCCTAGGCTAATGTTGAAGTTATGGCAATCCTCCTGCCTCAGCCTCCCTGAGTGCTTGGGTTACAGGTCTGTGCCACCATGGCTGGCTATGTTATAGTCTTGATCTAGCTCAGAGGAGATGACACTGGACCTGTGCCAGTCTTGGACAGCTGCCAGGGGCTGAGACTTCTATTGTTCCATGTTATCTTTTCCCAAATGCTATCTTTTCTATCAATGTAAGTAGAGGACTGTCGAACACAGCAGCTTGGGGAGGATGGTCAGGACCCAACATGTCCCCATGGAACAATTCTTCCTCCCCGAAAGGAGGGCAGCAGGAGTGGGTCTCTCTCTGGTGTGTAGCCCCTCTGGAGCCTAGTCTCTTCTCTGAAGGAGGTGGAGATGACAGTCTCCCCACCTCATGCCTAATCTGCACTACCCCTTGCTCTCAGGTGCCCTAGACTGTGATGGAAGCTCACCACTTCTGGTAGTGGGGAATGAGAGTCAGTTCAGTCCTGTCTTTCTGGACCCACTGAGTCTGCAAATAGGCCCCAGGGGCTGGATGGACAGTGCCTGGGGCCTTGGAAAGACCAGTAGGGCTGGACCTTTGTCCTGAGTGCAAGGGGACTCAGAGAAATTCACGCTGGGGGAGTTTAAATGCCCTGGTCCAGGGAGAGTGTGATCTGACTTGCATGGGGTAGGGTTGGAGAGGGCTGCTGAGTGCATGTGCTCTTGCTTCTGTTCAAAGCCTTGGATGCAGCAAGGGGGCACTTTGGGGTTTTCAGTTAGGAAATGGGGGCACACCCGGTTCCCAGCAGCTGCACCAGGCACGTGTCACTGCTTTCCTCTGAGAACAAGTCCAGGGGCTCCAGCCAGGGGTAGACCAGGGAGGCATTGGTACGCATCCAGGCATGGGGCAACTTCCAAAACCCAGGCTGAATGCTTGGCTGGAACTCTGCAAAGGAGAGAGGTAGAGGTGTATCAAGTGTCTGGGAGCCGGGAGCCAAGAGCCAAGTTGCCACTGTTTACCCCTGGACCCAGCACAGGAAGTGGATGCCCTGATGGGAGCTGTGCCCACAACAGTCTGACTCTGCCCCAGCATTTCCTCTTCTCCTGGGTTGGGCACAGGGTTTGAATCACTTCAAGTCTCTCTCTCCCTCCCTCCCTCCCTCCCTCCTGTCCCTTCCTCCCCATGCAGCTCAGGCTGGTCTCACTATGTAGTTGAGGCTGATATCCTAATTGACTTGCCTCTACCTCCCAAGGGCTAGGGTCACAGGTGTGCAGCACGGAACTCTACCTACTAAGCTACATCCTGGCTCCAGGTGCCATTTTTTCTAAAACAACAAAACCAAATCAGAACATTTTCCTTAATTAATAGGAACAGTGTTGAAACAGGCTTTGCTTAAATCCTGTGCATCCCATGGAAGTGTGAGGCTGTGATGGAAAGTTCCAGACCTCAATTAGGAGCTTCTGAGGAAGACAGGAAGGCTGGGTTGTGTTAGGGACCAAGTGTCTCCAACATATCCTTCATCTGTAGAGTGGGTACAGTTCTTACTGCAGACGTGTGTGTGTGTGTGTGTGTGTGTATGTTAAAGGATTAATGAGCACAGAGGGGCCAGGGCTGCTGTTTGAGGATGAGGTATGTAGCAGCTCCTGATGTTACATATGCCCCCATCCCTGCCAGGAACAGCTGACTCAGGGTGGGCAAGGAGATAGATGCTTTTTGATATAAGGCACAGAACCTTATAGGTAGGACACTAAAGTTTACTGTGCACATGATAAACTGCCTTGTAGATATCCCAAACCCTGAGTCAGGCCACCCCAGACCTGTCTCTCTGGTCTGAGAAGGGATATCTGGATTGAATCCAGGAAGTGACTGGGTCAACTGTGGCTTCCTGGTGACTTCCTGGTATGAACTCTCTCCCTTGCTTTAGGAGAGGCCCACACATAGGCATTTCAGGGAACGCCCCAATGCTGCCTTCTGATGCAATGGGCCCGCCCTATGGTTACCTCTTAGGTACTTGGGGTCACTCTGCTTGAGGTAAAAGATGGATCTTTGGAGGAGGGTAGACAGTGTGTTGGTCAGCTGTTCAGTGCGCAGGCTGAGTGGTCGCAGGAGGGGGTTGGATACCCACTTTTCCTGGACACCTCGGAGTTGTACTGGAAGAGGAGGTCAGAGGTCATTCATTCTACCAGCTGACCAACCATGTGTTCAGGGAAAACACCCAAAGTCATCCCCATGACCCTATGGGGAAATGAGGCCCCTGTGAAACTGAGCTGGGCTGTGGGTATGGCTAAGGGATTGATTTCTAGAGCTGGGCTTGGATTCTAGTCCTGACTCTCAGTACTTTTCCATCAACTGACCAGAAAAAGTCACCAAATCTCTCTTTTCCATATTAATAAGTTGTTACTTTTTGGAGGGGAGGTGTTTTAGGGATTAAATGGGCTAATTTGTAGAGAGTGTTTTTCATTGTACAAAGTAAACAATAAAGTTTAGCTTTTGGTATTAACTAGGCAGACTGCTGTCCCTGAGGGATAAGCAGGGAGGGGGAGGGGTCTGGACTGGTGGAGGTGGCTGGAGGCATCATTTTGCTCTTAGGGTCACTGCCCACTTACCTACCATCTAAGACATCTTTATGGGACCCTAAAAATACTGGGGCCCTTGACTCTGTACCTTCCGTGTCTAATAGGAAAACTAGTCCTGGGGAAATTATGGCCATTATTAGTGTCTCTGTCTCTTCATTTCTTCCTTCCTTCCTTCCTTCCTTCCTCCCTCCCTCCCTCCCTCCCTCCCTCTTTCTCTCTCTCTTTCTTTCTTTCTTCTTTCTCTCTCTCTCTCTCTCTCTCTCTCCCACTTCTCCCTCCTTTCTTTCTTGTTAAAATTTTTATTTTAATTTTATGTGTATGAGTGTCTTGCCTGCATGTACATAGGTGTACCACATGTGTGCAATGCCTGCAGAGGCCAGAAGATGGTGAAAGATCCCCTGGAACTGGAGTTAGGGATGGTTATTAGCTACCACGTGGGTGCTGGGAACCCAACCCAGGTCCTCTGGAAGAGCAGTCAGTGCTCTTAACCACTGAGCTCTCTCTCCAGTCCTAGGTTTTTGTTTTTGTTTTGTTTTGTTTTTTTTGAGACAGAATCTTACTATGTAGTCCAGGCTAGTCTTGAATTCATGATCATTATCCTCCTGCCTTAGCCTCCCAAATGCTGAGATTGCAGGCATACATCCCCACACCTAGCTTATAGTACTTAATTTCTGGAGGAGTTCGACACAGCTGGGTATGCCTCTGTCTTATCTAGTCTTGGCCTGGAGGAGAATTGGGAGGCTCTTGGGGATCTCTAGGAGGCTACATGGAGAAGCAGGAGTGGGACTGGTCATGGCCTCACACGTTCCTTACGCTAGGAGGGCTGAGAAGCACATTTTATCCCAGAGTAGATGCCCACTGCCCAAGCCCAGCTAGACATCAGGCATGGGATCTTTGTTACTTTGGGTAGGAGCTCACTGTAGCCTGTGTGTGTGTGTGTGTGTGTGTGTGTGTGTGTGTGTGTGTGTGTGTGTGTCTCCATTGCTTTGGCCTGTCTCCAGGCATTCCTTAATGATCTCACGCCTCTCAAAGTTAGACAAACACTTGGCTGTTTTTTCAGGCCCTCCAGTTGCCTCTTGTGGAGGGGGAGGAAATCATGCAGGGTTGCGGTCTGGAGGGTCCCTGTTTTGTCTGCAGCCACCCTTAGGCAAGGGGAGAGACCTCCCTATGTACCTGTTTAAAAGGCTCCCCTCTTAATCTGCCTGTTCATGTTGTGTCAGGAAGAGCTGTTGAAGGAATCTTTCCTTTCTGAGAATATAATTTCCAAATCTTTTCTCATATTGCCTTTAAGCCTTCCTCATTCTGTAATGTTTGATAAGAGCTGGCTGAGACCCACATACTCAGGAAGAACCCCAGATTTCCCCTTAGCCAAGGCAGACTATTCTGGGGCCCCAGGGTCACCAATCCTGGGGTTCAGGGCAGGGCATGTGGCCAGATGGGAACTGGTTTTCCCAGCATCTGCCTGGGGAGGTGGCTCACATACCTTCCAGGACCTGGAACCCCACCACGCCATCCAAGTTGATTGAGGGCAGTCTATCCTCCAGGAATGAGGTGGCTCTCTCCAGAGCAGTCAGGATCAGGCCTGCCATGGTGCCCTGTGCAGTGTCTGGCCATGGCAGTAAGGCGGTCCACTGTGGCAGGGCCAGCAGCAAGAGCAGAAGCAGCCCAGGCCTGGCCATGACTGGCCTTCTGTCACAGGTTGATCACGCCCTGAAGTGCCAGGTACCTGCCCAGATCCTCTAAACAGGTGTTCCTGCCCCCGCCTCTTCCTCCACCCCTCTTCTTTAAGACTTGTAGACTAGTAGCAGGGCAGAGCTGCAGGGTCAGTCACAGGGCCACTGTCAGGGTCAGCCCAGTCCTGGACATGGAGATTGCTAGCTGCCTGCTGAGGCATCCTTCTCTCTCTCTCTCTCTCTCTCTCTCTCTCTCTCTCTCTCTCTCTCTCTCTCGTGTCTGGCAAAGCATGCTGGTAACCACAGTATTCAGGGGGGCAAAGCATGCTGGTAACCACAGTATTCAGGAGGGTCTGCTGCAAGTTTGAGGACAGCTTGGATTATATAGTGAGTTTAAGGCTGGCCAGAGCAACTTTGTAAGACCCTGGCTCAAAATTTAAAAGCATAGAAAGAGGGCTGAGGATGTAGTCTATGAAATAAAACTGGATGATTCATTTTTGAAATAAAAGTATCTTGAGTTAGCATAGGTCCATTTACAGATGAACAGGAAATGCTAGACCCTTGCTGGTAGTCTGAACTAGCTCTGTTAGTCTAACTGGCTCTCCACACCAACTACAAGTTCATAGTAGAAAATTAACAACAGTCAAGTTTGCCTAATAACCTGCAGATGTGACAAGGTCATGCTCCCGATCAGATTTAAAATAAACAGGATGTAAAACTTAGAGATGAACCCATACATGGTTTTTGTTGAGAAAAAGAAAAACATAAATGGCAGAGGGGAAGATGAGACCTAGATGACATATAAAGTTGTTCCCTCCTGATTACTCAGCCAATGAGGAAAGGAAGGAAGAGACCTGCTTTTAGAATTATAAAAACTAGGGCTGGAGAGATGGCTCAGCGGTTAAGAACACTGACTGTTCTTGAAGAAGACCTGGGTTTGAATCCCAGCACCCACATGGCAGCTAACTGTTCGTAACTCCAGTTCCAGGGGATCCGACGGCCTCTTCTGTCCTCAGGCATTGCACGACACAGCTGCACTCACCTCCACGCAAGCAATACATGCATATACACAAAAATAATTAAAATATTAAAAAAAGAATTATAAGCCGGGTGTGGTGGCGCACGCCTTTAATCCCAGCACTCGGGAGGCAGAGGCAGGTGCATCTCTGTGAGTTCAAGGCCAGCCTGGTCTACAAAGTGGGTTCCAGGACAGCTGGGGCTACAGGGAAACCCTGTCTCAAAAAAAACCAAAAAAAAAAAAAAAAGAATTATAAAAACTGTTCTCTGTGCTCCGTAGCATGCCCACCATTCTGGGCTGACACCCAGCTTTGCAAAGTCATAAAATAAACTGCCTGGCTTTGGAGACTCTGAGTCTCCAATACTTATTATGAAATGTGGATCCACATTTCTCACAACTGTACTTGCCTACCATATGCAAAGCCCAAATTCAATCCCCAGTTCAAAAGACACCCACCCTAGAGGGGTACTATTATCATTTTCTCATCTCCCACTCTTAATGCCCATGCTCAAATCTGTATTGAAAGTTCTTTTTAATAAACTCCAACTCTGTCTGGCTTTACCTGAGCAGAGGTCTCTGAAGAGAACTCCTCAGGCCTCTGAGATGTGGCATTGAGCTGTGTCTCACAGGGGTGGGTTGCAGCTCCTTTAGTACATGCTGTCTAGCAGTGGAGCAAGCCTCAAGGGACCTGAAGATGGAGCACTCTGCCCCAGGTGTGGGTCTGTTGCCCTCTCATGTCACCCTCTGGAGTAGTCAATACTGATTGTCAACTTGACAAGCTCTAGAATCAGTAGGAACTAAACCTCTGGGTATGTCTATGAGGGAGTTTCTGAAGTTTGTTAATTGGTGTGTGAAGACCCAACCTAACTGTGGGCAGCACCATCCCATGAGATGGGATCCTGGACTGAATAAAAATGAGAAAGCAAGCCAGGTGTGATGAGACACGCCTTTAGTCCCAGCACTCAGGAGGCAGAGATGGGTGGATCTCTGTGATAGAGGCCAGTGTGGTCTGCATAGTGAGTGCCAGGTGGCTATTGGGAGATCTTGTCTCAGAACGAGAGAGAGAGAGAGAGAGAGAGAGAGAGAGAGAGAGAGAGAGAAGAACTGGGCATCAGGATTTATTGCTGTCTGTGTTCTGACTGTGGATACAATATTACCGGCAGCCTCGCACTCCTGCCGCCATGGCTTCCCTACTTTAATGGACTGCATCCTCAAATTGTGAGCCAGAACAAACCCTTTCTTCGTTTAGTTGCTTTGTTCCCAGCCATGAGAAAAGTAACTGATACACCCTCAGAGTTAACTTCCCATCTGAAAGCTGAGGCTCCTGCTCTGCCTTAGCAACACATTGACTGACTTCCCTCATCTATGGAAGTGAGGTCATGGGCTACCACCACGAGAAGAGTGCCAAGAGCTTTAGGGGTAATGGAATCCCTATTGATAGGTGGATGTTGAGGGGTCCAGGGGGCAGGCATGCCTCAGATGAGCTGGTGAAGCTCCACCAGGAGGACATGGGGTAGCTTCACAACATGCTGGCATCATTTTCCAGCAATGGGAACAGCTTCCATAGTGAAAAGCTGTCACTCAGGCACACTGTGGCTACATTGAGAGGTGAAACCTCAGAATCTCAGGGGGGAAATTTCCCTTTTTTTTTTGAGACGGGGTCTAACTGTGTAACCTTTGCTTGTCTGGAACTTACTACATAGACCAGGCTGACCTCAAACTCAGAGATTTTCCTGCCCCTGCCTCCCAAGTGCTGGGATTAAAGGTGCCCTGTTGAGATTTCCCTTTTTAGCATGAAACTTTAAAAAAATGTGTGGGGCTAGAGAGACAGCTCAGCTGTTAAGAGTTTGTGCTGTTCTTGCAGAATTCAGTTCCCAGAACTCAAATCAGGTGGCTTAGGACTGCCTGTAACTCCTGCTTCAGGAGACCTGACCCCCTCTTTTGGTTTCTGCAGGCACCTGTACTCACATGCACATACTCCCACACAAGCACACAGAGATGCACAATTAAAAATGAAATAAATTCCAGTAATCAGGAGGCAGAGGCAAGTGAATATCTGTGAGATCAAGGCCAGTCTGGTCTATATAGCAAGTTCCAGGCTAGCTGGGGGTACAAGGAGACCCTGTCTCAAAAAGACAAAAAAAAAAATCTTCAAAAATCACTATGTAGGACTCGTGAGATGGCTCAGTGGTTAAAAGCACTGGTTGCTCTTGAAGAGGACCTGAGTTTTGTTCCCAGCATCCATATGGTGGTTAACAACCACCTGTAATTCCAGTTCCAGGGGATCCTTCTGGCCTCCACAGGTACTGCATGCATGTAATGCACTTACATACATGCAGACAAAACACTCATACACTTAATCAGTGTGAAAGAATGTATTTGCTGACCTACACCATTATGGAAACACAAATCAGAACAGGAGAGTCCGTCTCAGCAGTCAGCAAGGCTTCTCCAGGAAATGAACAACAGATGCTTGGAGGGATGGAATGTTGGGAGAGCACCACTGCTGGTGGTGGGAGTACAAACTGGTGCAGCCACTATGGAAATCAGTGTGCAAGTCCTCAGACAATAAAAACAGAATTTCTGTATGATTCAGCAATACCACAGCAGGGTATCTACCCTAAGGAATCTAAGCAAGCAAATCACAGAGATACGTGCCCACCCCTGCTTACTGCACTGTTCACAATAGCCAAGCTATGGAACCAGCCTAGGTGTTTATCACTAGCAAGTGGGTAAAGAAAACGAGGTACATATACACAGCGGAGGGGTATTTTGTTTTGTTGAAAGAGTCTCATATAGTCTAGGCTGGCCTGCAGCTCACTATGTAGCTGAAGCTGGGCTTGAACTGATCCTCCTTCCTCTACCTCTTGAGTGCTGGGATCACAGGTGTGTACCAACCATGCCAAGCTTCTACAATGGAGGTTTTTAAAAAAGTAATTAATTAAAAATGTTATTTTATGGTTTTTTTTTTTTTTTTTTACTTTTGTCTTTTTTGAGACAGGGTCTCCTTGTAGCCCCAACTGTCCTGGAACTCACTATGTAGACCAGGCTGGCCTCAAACTCACAGAAATCTGCCTGCCTCTGCCTCCCAAGTGCTGGGATTAAACGTGTGCACCACTACACCCAGCTATTTTATGTTTTTAAAATTAATTTCATTTTATGTGTATGAGTGTTTTGTCTCCATGTATATAAGTGCACTTGTGTGTGCAGTGCCCACAGATGCCAGAAGAAGGCATCAGATTCCCCTGGAACTGGAGTTACAGATAGTTGTTAGCTGCCATGTTGGTGCTGGGACCTGAACCCAGTTCCAGGGGATCTGCTGCTCTCTTCTGCCCTCTGAGGGCACTGCATGACACAGGTATGCTTACATATATGTAGACAATACACTTATACACATAAAGTAAAAATAAATTATATAT